AGCTATTGGTATACCTTTACCTTATGCATAAAACGTCAAATCTCTCATAAACATAGTTTAGCTATTAAACTGTTTTTTCTCCGTTTACACTATGATTACGTTATTTATGTTACAAAATAGTTTAATAAATTAAAATATTCGTAGGTTTAAGAAGGTTTTAGTTTTTATAAATAACGGAGTTAGTATATTTAGAGATATATAGTTATAGTATGTTAAGAGATTAACTAAAATAAAAATGAATGGTAATTCGATACAGCGAAAGAAAGGTAAGAGGTTGGTACCAATGTATACTATGTACCTACAGCCAAACTAAGTATACTATATATTTTATAATAATCATCCCGACAAAACCACAGGCTGAGCTAGTATTGTATGAAATCTAAATTAGAACTCTTTAATGTAACACCTTCCAAGATAAATATATTTGTAACCACTGTTCCCACCCAAAAAAACACGAGCCCACAAAATTATTTTCCCCAACATTAATTCACCTAATAGCTTTATCAGACAGGTAACTTTAAGCGGCTAACTAAAGTGCACCTTGTCAAAATGACACTCCATTATTGGGCACACATTTTTAGGCAATATCGCTATCGGAGTCCATAACGTGCAGGGTTACGTGTTAGGCCGTGCCGTTATCGTCAGTTTCTGCATGAACGCCCACGTTACGGTACCCCCTACAGCCCCCCGCCCCCTGGGCACCACCAGCACACCCCGGCCCCCAGACCGCGCGTCCCGCCTGGAGACAGCGACTGTGAGATCTTGACACTTGAGTTTAATTTATTCGTCGAGTTTAGGTTTCCTGTACTAGCTATATTATCTTGAAGTAAATTTGTTAGTGTAGGAATCTTTGCGATATGACTTAGTTGCTTTTTAGTAGAAATAATAAATTTTCACTGTAGTTATAGCACAATAAATACATTTATACAATGAATACATCTATTTATATTTATTTAGCCGTTTTATATGACTTATCATTTACAGTAATTTATGTACATTATATATTTATATCACTTGATCAATACTCAGAGAAGATTAAAAAATCTCTTTAGCTTGGGACGAAAATGACACTGTGTGATCCGGGGCGACTGATTAATTTATTTCATAATCTATACTTATAATAAATCTGTAGAGAGGTCAATTCTGTACATGAAATATATTTCCATAATAACTATCAGGAGGTGATTAGTGATCGATACTGATGCCAAAAATGCAATCGGTAAAACTTTTGTCTGTCTGTATGTTCGTTATAGGAACAAAAACTACTCGACGGATTTTAACGAAACTTGGTACAATTATTCTTCATACTCCTAGGCAGGTTGTAGTATACTTTTAATCACGCTACGGTCAATAGAAGCAGAGCAGTGAAGGGAAATGTTAAATATGTCCACTCGTGCGATGCCAGGACCGCTAGTATTTGAATAATATTATAGCAATATTGAAATTGATAATTCACATCTAAATCTGAATTATCTATCACGTCAATCACGTTATAGCTATTTATAGCAATTACAAGAACTATTAGTTTATTTTTTTTTTGAGAATTTTGACATTAAGTAATCCTAAAATTACATAATATCAGTCTTAGTTAGCGAGATATAGCCTAATCTTTCTCTGTAAAGGTGTTTCGGTTTGAAGGGTGGGATATGGCGTGAATTTACTGGGTACAGAGGAATAACATCTGAGTCCTCAGGAATGGCAACGCATGGGGGATATCATGAACGAAACAGTATACTCTGTTATGTCCATGGTACTGCTCATGTCTATAGGCAACGGTTACCACTTTCCATCAGGTGGGCCGTCAGCTTGTTTGCCATTCTAAGTCGTATAAAAAAAAAGTAATTGATAATTATTCTCGTCGAAGTTTCAGCGTGGACAATAGATTGATTGGTTGGTGAGTAATCTAACAAGATATAATTTTGAGTGTTCTTACGACAACCTTACATAATAATTGTTACTTAATGGCACTTAATACTTACATACGAGACCGACGGTTCGCGTGTTCTAGGAAAATGGATAACGTAGTACAATTGTACTTTTACCTAATCAATCTACCCTCATCGTTATGAGCCAACGACATTTCAATACTTCTTGTAACGAATATATGTAATATATACATTATATTATTAAAAAAAATACTTCAACAATCATACAATTAATTTGAAATAAACAGAGAAACTTTTTTTGATTACAAAAATATTATTACGTCCAAATCGATATAAATTACTTACAACATACACGCATAAATAAAATACTGTTAAATTGTCATGTCATAATCAGTCCACTGCTGGACATAGGCCTCTCCCAAGGCTTAGTCCCAAGGCACATTGCCTTGCACATTGCATAAGCGTGATCTTCAGCTCTACTTTTTCAATTTTTACTCTATGTATGCTATCGCTCTAACTACCCACAGGGGTGAGACGCCTACGCTTGCCAATACACGGTCTCCACTCCATAATACACCTACTTCAACGGTTGTCGGTTCTACAACAGATATAACCAGTACACTGCCATTTCATCTTGCAAATCCACTGAGCTGTCGGCAATTTTGGTCCTCTGGCGAATTACTTCATTTCGGATTCGATCCGTCAAAGAAACTCCAAACAATGCAAAGAGCTATGTAAGCTCTTTCCATTGCTCCCTGAGCGACATTCAATTGATAAACTAGTCGTATAGTATGTGGTCGCGTTTCGGCACCTTATATCATTACACATTTGTGGTAGAGACCAACGGTAACCTTTTTATTTTTAAGTCTTTTAAAAATTAATTAATTGTGAATCTATTTAATAATAGATTAAATAAAAACACAAAATAGAAAAGGATATATAAAGTCAAATTTTAATAAGAGTGGTTTATCACATTTTGATTTTTTAAAGATACGCCTTATTTGATGTAAATTGAAATTCTGTCACTATCAAAATCATGAATTCCAACGCAATTATTATAAATATTAACCATATACTATATATACCACTAATATATTATATTTGCGAATTATATTTTATAACGTTTAATTATGTAAGTAATTACTTTTAACTAATAAATTGAGATTAAGAAGACTAAAACCGAAAAATAGAATTAACCCAGAATTTTAACTTTGTTCTTAATCTAATTATGTGTAACCGACTTGGAATCTGTGCTTTGTTTATTTCTTTTAAATAGTCAAATTTGCCTCCTTTTCCATTTACTTGATTTAAAATAAGTAATTTCTCGTCAAATTTGAAAATAGTATAAAACAAAATAACTTTCTATATCTATACGTTTCTACATTTTCTTCTTTTAAACGAACGCAACGATCTTTATGTATTAAAATTCGTTGTTGGTTTCACTATCATATATCTAGATATTTTTATGAAAGATTTATGTATATATATCTAATGCATTCTAATTAAAATATTGTATATATAAATTCAATGTTTTAATAGACTGCACCCGTGAAAAGCAGCGACGGGTCGCAGATTATTTAAATAAAAGCTCAACTAATTCATAAAATTGATTTTTTTTTTATACAACTTAAAATGGCAAACAAGCTGACGGTCCACCGGATGGAAAGTGGTAATCGTCGCCTATAGACATGAGCAGTACCATGGACATAAAAGAGTATACTGTTTCGCCCATGATATCCCTCGTACGTTGCCATTCCTGAGGACTCAGATGCTATTCCTGTGTACCCTGTAAATATTTAGTTCAAATTACTTACCAATTATTAGACAAAGGAATGACCTTTCTCTTTCATAAACTGTCATGTGTCACCCGTACATACTACAATTTAAATATATTTTCCATCCTTTCTTGCTATTACTAAAACATGGCTGTTTGTAAAACAACTGAAAGTATTTTAATGAAATTTGATGCACAGATATAACTATATACTAAATTAAAATAAAGGATGCTTTTTATACAATATTAACAAGGGCAAAGTCGCGTGATACAGCTAGTTGATAATACGTCTAAAGTACCCCTATACTATTGTAACACTCACGAATATAACAATTGTCTAATAACTTACTTTTGCCTAATCAGGGCTTCACAATTGAATACTCCCTAACTGGTAACGAATGGCACAAACGACCACCTTCCTAAGAAGATTAAAATCGGCTAACTCGAATAAATTCAACCGTTATCGGGTCTTGTTTGGGGAATTAATTATTACTTGAGCTCACTTGGCGGCCACAACTTTGCTCAACTGAGTAACCGAATCACTTTGATTAAGTAGCTTGCTTGCTATTTACCGCCTACATCTTATTATGCTTTATGGAGAATGAAACCAGGTCACATACTGTGTCGTATTTTATCATTATGATTTTAACCATTAATTGCATACTGCTGAAAATAGATCTCCCTAAGGCTGTCATGAGGAAGTCTTAGCCCCTGCAACATATATGAGAAGGTAAACTACCTTCTCATATATGTTGCAAAAAGAATTCATTGCGTACCCTGGGGGGGAGGAGAATAAGGGGTAAAGTGGAATAGCACGCCCATTGCTAACAAGATATCCTGCCAGGTCAACCTCCACGCGGTACCTCTTGAAAACCATCGTGGTTAATCTTGATGAATCCAACTGACCTGCTTTCAACCTCTTCTATCATCACGCACTGGTGCTCCGCCAACGTATACGGATAGCGCAAGTAGGGTTACCATACTATTTATCATTTTATTAATAAAAAAATAAATTGCGTTTGCCTGTACGAGGACATCACTCTAGAAGCTTTATTCTCCATACCATACATTGTGGATTCTTCGAGCTATATGACTGGCCATCAGTTTATCATTATCAGTTTATCCATTAGCAGAATATACCTGGGATGCAGCATGACGGTTTCCAAGGGGAACCACGTGGAAGTCGACCTGACAGGGTATATTACTAGCAATGGGACTGGTAGTCTGCAATACTTACAATACCTTCCCCCTTCAGTTGGGCTGTCGGCTTGTTTACTATCAAATGTGATATAAAAAAATAAAAAATGTGTTCTCGCATAATTGTAATTGTATTATTCTAGGTGAGGAGCCTCTAGATGGACTGGAAGGTCTGCACTCGGATGAAACAGGGTCTGGTGATAACTCCAACGCGGGGTCAAGTGGCGCGGACGATGATGCCGCGAGATTGAGACTCAAACGCAAACTGCAGCGAAACCGGACCAGCTTCACCAATGAACAGATTGACAGTTTGGAACGAGGTTTGTATAAATTGACTGTTTGTCGTGATTTCACTTGCACGAGTCTTGTTATGTCGTACATATACCTGTCTTCCAGTAGGGTAATCAGAAATAATGGAATGTCAAATGCTTCGATTCAGACAGACTTTCAATTTGGCCTTTTTTCAGCACATCGTCTATTTAGTCTCCAAATGTCTTTCTAGTATGGTACCTAACGATATCTTTAAGTATTTTGCACGATAAATCTTTTACGTAATTCTTCTTTAATCTATCCTAGCCAAATAACCAAACCAACGCAATATCCCCAAGCAATTTTCAAACTTTATCACTACATCACCTTATCTCTTATTCCCGTAATTTAAAACCGTGCCTTGATTCATCATTCAGATGAACCTTTTGTATTTATACTATACTTATGAAAAACCAACATTATTTTAGTTATAAGTACTATCCTTATGTTTAAATCCTAGCACATGGCAGCATGTCAAACCAATTCAATATATACTAACTGCATGACAGAAAGATTATCATGAAATAGATGGTATTCTAGGCGAATTATACATAACTCCAATACCAATCTTTAACAAAACCACAGACCTACACTTTACTAGAAAAACATTTAAAATATAGGTGATTATATAAACCAAAAATCTAGAGAATCATCTACATAAATATTATCATTTGTTCAGAATTCGAAAGAACACACTACCCGGATGTATTCGCTCGAGAGAGGCTCGCAGCAAAAATTGGATTACCCGAAGCCAGAATACAGGTGAGTTGTCTAAATAGAATTTATTTTTTAACTATAATATAAGTTTCACACAATCAAACTAATCGCCTGATCTTCAACAAACGTCTAGGAATATAAAAACGCGCAGGTCAGAGATAATTAAAAAAAATCGTTTCCTAAATTAACCTCACCGAGAGTCGAACTCAAGACCTTATTTACTCAAAGCGACGTACCCATTACGACGAAAGTCTTCAAAGTAAAAACGTCAAGATAAGCAGTAACTAAATAAATATATTAATTTATACTTTGAGCCGAAACTATTAACTTGTTGTATACGAGTATAACATCTCCCTTAAAACATCTCTAAAAGCCTAACTGCGGTTGCCAACCCGCCTGCCAAGCGTGACAACTATTGACAAAACTCCCTTTATAGGAAAGGCTTATGTTCAGCAATAGACAGTTAATGGCTGAAGTAATAATAGGAGTATTAAAAGGTATAGGTAGATAATTCTGTTGCCGATTACAGATACTCGTGCATCATTAACCAAATTTTATTTCAATAAATTCATTTGTATCAGCTCTTACTCACTGTATTTATAAATACCACAAAAATAGCAGGCGTAGTTATGAACGATTGGTCGAGTTTAAATTTTTGCAAGTACCTACCAATTGTTAGTAAGGAAGAAGTTAGCTAGCGCGTAGTGACCGCGCGTCGTGTTAAGCTAATCCGACGTTAAGGTGTGGTTCTCGAATCGGCGCGCGAAGTGGCGGCGCGAGGAGAAGATCCGCTCGCAGCGGCGCAGCCCCGAGTGTGCGTACGCGCCGCCCGCGCCGCCCCACCCCCCGCCGCACCCGCCGCCGCCAGCGCACCCGCCGCACAACCCCCACCAGCCGTACCAGCCGCCGCTCAACGTCGACACATACAGGTACCTATGGACTTCCTTAAATTTACCACAAAAATATACCCATGAACGAAGATCCACTGTTGAGTTTAAGATTAGATGATGCTCTATTATTCTAGGCAGCCTTATGACATCTACCTTATTTGGTAACAAAAGAATCACTTCCCTAAATTAGTAAAAAATAGCAGTATGAAATCTCAAACATTGCCATGCTAGGCACCTGAGACAGTACACCATCTAGTCCCAAACTAAGCTGTGTTCGTCTAGATTCTAAATATTTTAGGTACACCGCCAAAGTCATCAAGTAACTAATCCGTATAACTAAAGAAATTATAGGACATAAATGCATAGCTGTTTTATCTTCAAGAATAACAACGCTAAGAAGTCCCATGGAGGATAGTGTATTTTGGAACATCCATGTTACTATAGAAAGATACCGTCACACCGGAATTTATGTATTTATTTTATTTTCAGTCCGCTCACCCCAATGGGATATGGTGGTGGTATGGTGACAGAAGCTCCCGTATGTGAGAGCACAGACGCTGAACTTTGTAAAGGGGGATTTCTAAGTTACCCTCGTTACGAGCTGGGCTACAGACAGCCGCCGCATCCCTACGTCAATCATCATGGCTACCAGCATGAACCGTCATCCCCACCTCCAGGTTAGAAAACCAATTTGTTCAAAATGACTAACAATGACTTTGTTAAAGCAATAAACTTCAATCCGTCACACTCATGTTTTTGCTACAAAACAGCTGTACTTGCATGGCTATGTTTATATAAAAAAATAAGGGAGTGAAACTACTGGATACAGAAGCGTAACATTCGAGAATTTTAATACCTGTTGGATAACATGGTTACTATAGGGATCCAGCATAAAATGGGTTACCTCTTCTATTCCCGTGGGTGTCGTTAGAGGCGACTTAGTAAACTTAATGGTGAAGGAATGGGCAGCAGCGTCCCTCTTAAAACATCACTAAAGCCTAGCTGCGGTTGCCAACCTGATCGCTAGGTGTGGCAACACTGGCAAAACCTTCCAATAAGGGGAGACCTATGTTCTGCAGTGGACAGTTAACGGAGGATATGATGGGTAACATGGGCATCACAGCGTATTCTGTTATATCCATGGTGCGGATCATGTCTATAGGCGATAGTTACCACTTTTCATCAAGTGCGCCGTTAACCCGTTTGCTTTTACAAAATTACACTTTGTATTTCTGTCATTCTTTCTAAGCGTTTATTTATATTAATTACTAGCGGCCCGTCCCGGCATCGCACGGGTGGACATTTTTAACATTTCCCTTCACTGCTCTGCTTTTATTGATCGTAGCGTGATGAAAAGTATACTATAACCTGCCCAGAAGTATGAAGAATAATTGTACCAAGTTTCGTTTAAATGCGTCGAGTAGTTTTTGTTTCTATAACGAACATACAGACAGACAAACAAAAATTTTACTGATTGCATTTTTGGCATCAGTATCAATCACTGATAGTTATTTTGGAAATATATATCATGTACAGAATTGACCTCTCCGCAGATTTATTTTATGTATAGATAAAGCGGTGACATTCCGAACTACGCGTAACTCTGACGGTAATGTCATAATGAAAACTAACATGTTTATTTCTATTTACTTTTACCTAGAAGATATGTGTCAGGACATCTCAATTTATATGGTAGCTTCAAACTATGTAATTTTAAAAGACTATTTCATTATCACAATTGCAGAACTAGGCGGTCTCCTGGGTGCTGGTGTGTCAGTTCCGTTGGCTGTGCCCGGCCAAGACTCGCAGCAGTACTGGTCGCGGCTCCAGTGACCCTGGTGGAACTAGCTTGGTTCTGGATCTTACGCACGAATTATAAACACGCCCATCGTCTTTTAATTCCGAAATTTTGTTAAAACAAAGAGATGTCTAGTAAAATTGTAAATTAATTCTCGATTGTCATTCATTTTTTTATTACGCTAGTGTTTGTTTAATAAAGTCGAATGCCGCTATTAGAATCGGCTAGACGACCATATAAAGATTTACCTACCTACATATTTGTTTTCTTATTAGGTATTTTATTTAAACAATTTTTTTTTTAACATATTAAATACATGCAAAAATAGTTTATTGCATTCACTTTTGAGTTTATCTAAAAATATACTTTAGATATCAAGATTTTCACATTTATCCTATATCACATAAAAGTCTTATCTTCACATACGTCACGTACAGAAGGAACCGAATACCATTATCTACTTTACTCGAATGGCTCGAAGTACTTCTATAATCCTTAAAGAAGTGTCAAAGTTCTCTATATTTCTTTGAAGCAAAAAACCTACGTTTCTGGACTTAATTTGGTATTCATATTTCGAAGGCATAGCGTACATCATTCATATTTTTATAAGAACAGAGTAAAGATACAATATATTACCAATAAACTCCATTCTGAGGACATCAAGAGGCGAATAAGGGAACGAAGCACAATACAAAATACGAAATAAAATCCAATACTAAGCAACCAATATTATAGTATAACATCATCTTCTAATGTGAAATACCGGTAGCCAGAAACGTTAACGGGTGATTATAGTTAGACCTATTATTTCTATAGATTTTGTTATGAAGCAAATACTTTAAGTTCAATTTCTAATTAAGAAATAAACTTTTTTCTGTAGGTAGGTACTTCTGTGGTCAATTTATTACAAATGGATGTCGTCTGAACAGTATCTCTATGTACTTTTATATACTTTTTTATACTTATTGTTTTATTTACTTTTTACGAAAACAAAAAATATGCTATAATATTCGATGGTAATTAGGATTTTTCACGTCGGTTCTAACATAGAATAATTCATAAAATAGAAACCAAAATAAGCAAGAATAGAACCGTCTGATTCCACTAAAATACATGTACCAAAACGGTTGTCTGGTAAAAAACTTGGCAACTGTAATCACTATTTGTAATACGATATAATACAATGTAATATATTCATGTATGTTTGGTGAAATCACGTTGTAAGTGTACCTACGGGAAAGAGAATTTTACATACCTTGAGTAATGTAATTACTGTTCAGACCATTTTTATGTAGCTACAACAAAAACAAATTTATCCGTCGCTAATCCACTCATAGTATAAAGAATTAACATATCCATTAGTTGCCACAAAGGTGTAAACACAAAATATAGGCTCAAATGTACGATATTTTATGTATGTAAATTAGACTATTTCATTCAAATTAAGAGTACATTATTTCACAACTGTCATATTTGTGAAATGATGTAAATATAGCACATATAATTTTAAGATAAGGTATTGAATGAAATAATTTAATAATAAAACATAAGTGTTACATTTTATTTTGTAATTAATACCTAACAACGGTATAGACTAGTTAATTAAGGCTTAATTTAAGAAACAGCTCTGCTATGTATAAAATTGTTGTAAATGTTTAATAATAATAAAATAAATTCGATCAATTAAAATTTTGTTGAAAACGACAAAAAAATCTTTAACGATGTTCATAAATGATAAATTTGCAATCATCGTGTGCATATTATGTATTGTACATTAATTTTTATGAGAAACAGGGCTTGTTAGTGTTTAAGCGAGGTTGTATATAACTTTTTGATGTAAGTACCAACCCACGTTGATTGTGAATCTTTGGTGTATCCATTATTGTATGAAACAGTTAGTGGCAATAGTAGCTGAGCATTGAGTTCTTTTAGTCACTTAGAGTATCCATGAACACTTAGAGTTGATCTCGATCTATTGAGATGTTACTTTCGAATTTATTATTAGTTTATAATTGTATAGTATAAGTAGGTATATATAAAATTGTGAATAATTGTGTGATGTCGATAAAACATTTTAATAACATTATATAAATACATTTTTGGATCAAAACTATGTTTTCATTTCTGGTTAGGTACTGAAATGCTAAATTTTCTCACGAACACTCAAGCTGTGGAATGAGCTCCCTGCCGAGGTTTTCCCTAGAGACTACAGTATGGGGTTCTTCAAAAAGGGTTAATATACCCCTAGGTTTCTTCATAATTGGCAACGCGCACGTTGGTATCGCAGGCGTCCATAGGCTACAGTGACCGTTTACCATCAGTCAAGTTGTATGCTTGTCACCTTTGTGGTATAAAAATGGGTACAAATTTCAACATAACAATAAAATAAGGGTTTAATAAAAATATTTTTTTTATTTTTTCAATATAATAATTTCACATATTACATTCCTGCGTCAGCTTCATTTAAATCTTTATTTTAGCCGACTAACATTTTAAATCAAATTAACACTTTGTATTGTATCACCTTGTTATTAGGTAACTACAACTATTATGTAGCAAAACGATAACTATACCTATATTTATCATTGGTATTAAAGCTATAATCAACAATGCATCACAGTGCAGATTGCTACAAACATGCTGTCTTTATAAATTAAAAACTGCTACTAAAAGTAGACCTGCATATCCTTCTAAAATCACAATTTCCACATTAAATTGTCACACATTTACGACGACGTATGACTCGAACAAACCTATTTGTACAGTATCAACTTATATCTAAATATAAATGAATAGTATTAAATCATAATCCTTTATTAAAAAGTGTATCAATATTACTGAACATATTTTTATCTGAACTCTCTCCTTTGTTTATATTTCTATGACAACTAGCAACTACGTCGGGTACGTTTTTAACTAAATCTAAGTCTGATATTGTGATATCATCATCTTCCAGATCATCGTCGCTCAAGTCGACTATGTCCACTGGCTCACCTATTCTAGCAGAATCTACATCTATAATATCAGTATCCGACAATTTGTTTACATTTATATGCTTATTATTAATTTCTATACTTACAATTTGTACTTCTGAGTCAGAATCGTTGTCAGCCTTACTTCCTACACTAGTAAGATTAGTTTCACTTTCACTATTGTCTGATCTACTAAGAGTGTTCTGTCTATTTCTAATAAGTCTAGGCTTTTGTGTTTGCTCTGTGATTTTAATTCTTTTGAACTCATGAAAGTTATCATCTAATTCATCATCGTGTATATCATAAATGTCACTAATTTCTGAAAGAGTACGCTTCCTGCTTACAGGAACTTCAGTCTGTTTATGTTCTGCTTTGGACTGACTAGACGGGGTGGGTGCACTATGATCTACTTTCTTATATACTATGGAATTACTGCTAACTACTTTAATTATTTTATTTCCAGATGTTGTGATAGTCTCTTGCGTGGACAGTTTACGTTTCCGACTCAAATTTAAAGTTATTGGAGTGGTATGGATGATCGTATCGTTTTTCTTTCTAGCTCTAATTTCATCCAGGGACAACACTTTAAAATCTAACGAGTTCCGTCTCTCGGTGGATTGTTTTTTACCTGAAATCTCATCAAGTGACAGTCTGTCGTATTTGGAATTCAGATTGGTCCTCGTGATTTTACGCTCATTGGTAGAATCAACAGCCGGTAACGAATCGTAACTGTAGAACGCGGCCGCCTCAGCTTGAATTTTCTCGAGGAGGAGTAGCTCCTGCGATTTGGTGCGAGCGATTCTCTGAGCGTCGTCCGGCGACACCGTTTTAGTGGGTGTGGATGAGGGAGCGCTTTCATTGTCGGACTCTGCAAGAACACACGAAGTAACCGCTTAGTGGAAACGAACGCGAAATCTCTAAAGTCTCATGATTTTCGTAATTAATTTTGAAACGACCCGACACGATATACTTGCGGTGTGTTCTTGTTGTATCGACCTGAAAGCTCGAAGTGGGCGGTCAAAAATAATTACAAAAATCATAATTACGAAACATTTTATTTACTCGTTGGTATATTAAACACAATTTGATTAAACAAAGCCAAAGTATATTCTGTTCTTATACGAGTTCCTATATCAGTTTGAAAGTTAAGTAAAAAGAAAATTCTTAAACACACGCGTTACTAACATTATAAGATATATAGAAATTCTTATACAACATAAGACTAAGATTAACATAACAACAACCCCGTTTTAATTCAAACAAGAAACCAACAGCTCTAGCACGGTGCCACGTGCTCAGGCCGACCTCGCGCGCCGTCTTGCTGCGCTCAGTTCGTGCTAGTTTAAATAAAATTCAAACTATATATAATATATATCTACATTGCGGCCTTCCTAATCCGACTATTCAATATTTTGCAACAGTGATCCACATGTCATGCGACTCAGTGTACAAATATAAAAGTGCATCACTCATTTTATCTTATCACTTCCGTACACAAACTTTATAAAATTTTATTCCCTTACTAATAACCGATTTCTTTGAATGTCGACTATAATAAATATAATACCAAATAAAAGCAAATTAACTAGTCGGTTTCTTTTTTTTACATTCAACAAATCGATTAATAAGTAACACAGAATATTAATTCTAACGACCATGTCGAAGCAATTCGCCACAAGTCTTGTTAATTGGACTACATTATATGTAAAAATTTACTCACATCCTTTACAATTAACAGCCGAGTGAACGTTAACAAAAACTACTGTTATCATTTCTTTTTTTTAATATCAAATTGTTTCGTAGTATCACAAGACTTGCAGTGACGCGTCGTATCCTACAACTCTCTTTTACAAGTTCTTTCTTCTCATATTTAGCATTAACATATTAATGAGTAAACTGCCTAACAGAAAACATTAACAGTCCAACAACTAAGAGAAAAATAAATAGTTCCTAATAAAAGTCAAGATTAATGTTACACTATATATTATTAAGTATTGCTATATGTTAAAAACAAAACCAATGGTGTTTAAATAAAGAGTGCCTAAGAGTATACTGCCTCAAATAAATACAACCGGATTTTGTACTAATTCATATAAAATTTATGAATATTTCAGTTCATTTTCGTCTCGAGGTTTTTTTTATGGCAATAAATTAAATAAAAAAAAAAAATATTGAAACTAGACTTTTTTTTTAAGTGAGCATGTTTTATATCATATAAAAATCTTTCCATATCTTACTCTATCTCCAACTTAAGAGATTGTTTATTTACTTTTAAATATTGATAATTAGCTTTAGGTATATAAATAATGACTAGGCGTAACATGGACCATAGACAATTTCTAATTTTTTAGCTGCTTGTTTTGTCCTGTTCATACATTTTGCAGTTTTTGTAATAAATATAGGAACTTTACTCTTAGTGCAAAAATATATAAAAAAAAAAATGAATAATCTTTTTCCATTTCGGAACACGGAAATTATTTACCTAAATGTTTTCACTAATCATATCAAAGTGCTATAAATATACGGTAATCGGAAGCATCATTAAAAGTACCCAAATTGCTAAGCAATTATATGCCATTATTTTGGTTACTTGTTACTTTAACTCCCCATAATTGGTAATACGTCTTAATAAGCACAAAATTCTTATTTCATATTAAGCACAACAACCTGTCATTGTCTGTGGTTGTATCAATAAAAATCAACCACAACTTGAACTGTGCTTCTATAACTAGATTTTTTTTTTCATTTTATTTCTATCTAATTCCCACGGTGCGAATATGAAATATATGGGGCGGTAGCAGTGTTTACCATTATATACTGCCGAAGCCCCTTAAAACCACCTACGTACTAACATACAAACAATTTAAAAGGCATAAAGCTTTTTTTTATTTTTTTTTTCGTCACCTAAAATTAATGAGTTACAATAATCGTGTATATATATTTTTATTTGTATTTTATATTATTTAACCTATTTATTATGTACCTGTCTATCATAGACAAAGATTATATCAACATCTATTTTGAAAACATATTGCAGTGACATTTTAAACTGTGTTCAACATATTGGGACTGCAAACAGGAATTCAAAATGTGACTGCAATATACAATTTACACCGTTACATAGTTATATATTAAATGAAAAAGCGAAGGATATTTACGAATCTAATTAGCTAAGATATGAAAGATTATATTCTCTAATTTATTGCACATATAAAAATACCAACTTTAATTTATCTTTCCTTTATTTGTGTCAAATAAGAATGTCTGGACCAAAATGTCTGGGTTCGAATATTAGATTTGAGCATATTTTATAAGCAACTAAATACTTATAATACAGAACTACTGAAACATCAAATATCTATTAATATTAATCATTATATATACTGAATATATAATCAGTATTTTATGTTACACTTTACATATTAGTAGGTATGCACCTATTTTGTTTGCAGAGTCCATATCAATGATTAATAGTATGTCATAGTAGTAAGCAAAGACAATTTTATATATATATTATGCAATAAATTATGGCGATTTAGATTTTTAAAGTATTAAGTTGGTACTGAATATTTGTAAATAGATTTTTAAATATAAAACACCTACTAAATATAAAACTACACATATTTGATACATACTACATAGATTTGCGGGGACTAGACTCAAAATTTTGAACTAGACATTCTAATAGACACGCTTGCATCATTCGGTTACAGAGAGCATAATGAATCAATCTGATTCAGTGTTTTCCCCTTTAATCATTGTCTATGGTTAAAAAAAATAATCAGTAAAACATTGTCTATGCTCATTAAAACAACCCAACTATCGCTCTAAGTCGGGCAACATAACCTGTATTCTAAATAAAATACATCATCTCTTTGGATCCAGTTTCGAATGTATAAAATATTCAAAATCTTCAGTTCTTTGTTTTCTCTATGATGAAACTGAACCCAATTAACTCTATATAATAAATACTATAATAATTGACTATTGAGAAAAACAAAATACTATGTTTAAAATAAACGTACTCTATGTCACGCCACGCAGACTAGGAGGTAAAACTAAAAAATATTTTCTTTCTACAAAACAGTTTTAAAGAAAAACATATGACTGCAACTTGTCATAAATATACAATTAAAAAAAAAATCCCAGAGCGTCGGCGGACAGCATAATAAGTAAAAACATCCTTAACAACTAATAAACAACATGTGATAAAATAAATATATTCAAACTAGGCTCGTCCAACACATTCTTCTGAATTAGTATATCAGTTACAAGTTTCCTTTTATTGGCACTTAATGCAAATAAATATGTCAGTCTGTCTTGTTAGTTGCATTTTTCCCAGTATATCTTTCGCATTGAGATACTATCGTGAGCACAGTGAATACTATGAACACCGCATCATTCGTCCTTACTTCATATTAATAATACTTTCAGTAAATAAACGATATGTCTTCAACGTGTCAATGGTAGCGCGCTTTGTATGCACTAAAATACTATAGAATTTTTTCTTCAAAATCACTCACGGTACCATCTCAGTTTAAACCTTCAGAGCTATATAACATTAGTGCCATAAATACTAAAAGTTCGCGACCCCCCAAAAGCACAGCATTAGTTAAACGTTAAAATAATAAGTGAGCGTTCGAAGTGTTATTTAATATCGTTATTACTTAACCCTAAGCACTCCGACTTATTAGAATGCAGAGTTTTCAATTATGTAACTACTATTTCAATATTTTATTTCTATTTAAGTAAAACAGTAATTATTTCATATTTCTTACTCTTTGTAACATCTAAATGTCAAAGAACCAAAGTTCATATTCTCGTATTAAAATTGCACATTGAAAACTCTTATGCATTCGTACAATATAATTTGTTACCGGCTTCTAAATATCTTTTTTAAACATCATCAAAATGTTTCACACGTTATAATTCCGTTGTTACGAATGTACCAACATGACAGGATAATTATGGTGAGTTTTAAAAAAGTTACAATGACACCGAATTAAGCCCCGTCACACTATCTTACGGATATCAGCTTTAATGCATCGCATCGCATTGACATTGGTAACAGAATACGAATTGAACAAAACCCTACTAGATACTATTAATAAAAGACTGACAATAATAATACCAAACTAGTATTTAAAAAAAATAAATTTTTAAAATGTGTCTACGTACACGTGTCATAGTGTAGACGCAACCTAACCTTCCTATCTATATTGTCTACACTATGAACCGTGTAGGAGTGCTCTTTAAAACAGCAGTTACGATACATCGATGCGAAAAGAGGCAGGAGCGTATCCAGTGGAGGGACTTAATACATATAGTTTCAGTACAGCCTCATACCTTCCTCGAAGTTGACGACGAGGGGGTCGACGGGTAGCGGCGCGTACGGGTTGGGTGCTGCGTCGTGCGGGTGCGGGTGAGGATGTGGGTGCGGCGCCAGCACGCGGCGGCCCAGCAGCTCGCTCGACGGTAGCACGCCCAGGATTGCCGAATCTAAAACCACTGTCCCGTCAATTTTACTATTGTAATACTGAGTGTCACGCGATATAATTATACATTTTACGACAGCTTTGCAGTCAGTAAAGATATACATATATATATCAACTAGTATACATGACAGATATACAGAAATTCTGTTCTATTTTCCTAATAATCTTAACTGAATTATTATGAATGGATGAATATGTATAATGTAGATTAAATTGTGTGTTTGTCTCTCTCGTGCTACCGCTATGATAAACACCTGTGTTTGTAGAGCTGTGTTTCGGTATGAAGGAACTTGGCAGTTACAGGTCATAAGCAGCATACAAATATACTCAAGAATATGACTTATGTGTGTGTGTGATATAACCCTATGGGTTAAAGCTGAATTTAAAGTCGATTTATATAAATGACTTAAATATACAGTGAAAACTCTATATAGCGAAATCGAAGGGACCGAGTTTTTTAAAAATCAATATGATTATTATATTATGATGATCCTTTTAATTTTAACTAAATTAGGTGTTAAAAAATAATTATTATATAACAAAGTTAATAATCGGTTATTTTTATCTGTCGTTTTTTATTATGCCAGTGTTTTAATTGTATCTTTCATTGTATTGTATTCATGTCTTGCGATATAGGGGGATTATTTATATATTTATATAATTCTTTATTGAACACACTAATTATACATAAAAATATGACAGAGGTAATCAAATGTAAAAAGGCGAGCATAACTCTAAAAGAGTTCTATTCCAGCAAACCCAAAGTGAAAGGCAGCATCAATGTCAGCGGGTAAATAATGGTGTAGAATATTGTATAAAATTTTAAACAAAGGAACTAGACAAACTTAAATTTATACATAATTAATTACATTATATTCAATCGTATAAATACACACATACAGAAATATAAATATATACTTACACCTATGCATATACTTATACATATACACACATATACATATAATATACCTACATATATAGAAAAATCAATATATGTTAATAAAGATAAAAGATGGTCTTAAAGTCTACTCTTTAAAATATTTAGAGATTGGCTCTCACGGAAAAATATGGGAAAAGAATTCCACAATCTAGCAGCATGGTAAGCATGGCACGGTAAAAGATCCACTATAGCACGTACACAAGTATGAAGGGATCATTTTCGTTAAATGAAAAGATTTTTTGTTTTTAAAGAACGAAATATTTACGACTTTGTCAGTATTGTGTTTGAAGGTCAGTGAAACTAATGTTTATTGGGGGTTTAAATAGAGATGTATTGTTTCGCTATTGATAATGGTTGCAACGGTATAAAGTTTCAATACAATATAAACCAAACATACCTTAGCAATTTCTACATTTTAAGGACTTTTTCGCTAAATAAAATTTTATTTCGCTAAAATAAAATAAAGAGTTTACACTGTATTTATTTATTCACTAATATTTTGGAGATAAACCGATCCCTGAGCTATCCAAAATTTAGATTTAATAATTACTACGATGGCTACATTGTTACGATTGGCCTTGTGGTCCTGGCATAGAATAGGTCACCCATTCCTTTCCCGTGGATGTGCAGAAGGATCCCTATTAAAACATCTCTAAATCATCATCAATCATCATATCAGCCTTTACCTGTCCACTGCTGAACATAAGCTTCCCCATTCATTCTCACCTATTATCTCTCACTGGTGTCCCGCCAGAGGATACCGTTAGCGCAGGCGGTGTTACCATGCCATTATCATCCATTAAAAAATATATTATATATACAGTTTTAAGGAATCTGGTTAAAAGAATAGCCCGTACAAAGAATCTGACAACAGTAATGTATAACTATTAACTAAAATATAAAATGCCCAAAATAACTAAAAAAAAATATTGTTGGACTGTTTATTTTGACCTTTAGGACCCGTTATCTGACTTAATGATTGAAATTCAACATCCATTTCTACTATCATTCACATTCATTGGAAAATCTTTAATGAAATAAGTATCGGCCTTGGGGCCTTACTGTATACGTTTAAAAACAACGTGTAGTGAGTTACCTTGTCGCTGCTGCGGCCACAGTAGTGGAACGGGGGCGGGCGCGGGTGCAGGGGCGGGCGCAGGGGCGGGGGCGGGCGGCGCCGCCGACAGCGCCTCGCCGGCGCCCTCTGCCGCGTTAGGACCCGCGGCCGACTGGGAAGCCGCCTGCCACGAATAACTTTGTGTAAACACAATGTGCGACCTACCAATTGTCTATCTTTCTTGTGGTAAAAGAGTGACAATACAATACGCCGGCACATATTTTCAATTAAAACGTGCAAAAAAGAAAAACTCGAAATAAAACACATACGTGCCACCCAAGCCGGTTAGCCGATGTGGTCGTGATATGATAACGTAATCTTTGGCACGATCCATGAAACATGTTGGAATGCATGGAATGTTAAATAAATTCCTAATGTTGTATCTCATATTAGCATATAACAGTTAATATAAAAGTATATTGTAACTAATTAAGATCAGAGTATTCATCATGTAAACCTGAAGTACACCAGTTTACAGCTATCAACGACTGTTTTACTCTCCGCTAAACTCCCTCTTTGCGTATATTTGAGTATACTCATAATCTTAACCTTACAAGAAAATATATATATAATATAATTGTTTTCCTGTAAAAAGATTCTATATAAATATAACTACTGGAAAGTTACACTAAAAAGTTATTATGGATTGCTTTGTTAAGTTCACCTTACTTGTGAAACAAGAAGGTTACGAATTCAAAGAGATGTCTTATTTACTATATTGTAAAAATCATAAGCTTTAGAGCATAGTTTCTTAACCTTATTTGTCTACCATCCACTTTAGTATTTTTTTTAGAATCCCACTTCTTAATTCTACTTGCCACATATCACAAATTTAAAATAGATATTGCCACAATTATATTTAAGTAATAATTTTCTCCAAGTATTCCATTGAAAGCCTTAAACATCCACAAGGGAGAGTAATCCACGCTAAGAACCTGTAGTCTAAACAATGAACATTCAATCATATCACTCTTCTCTCTTATTCATACTCTAGATTTACTACTGATTAGTTGTTGCAAAGGAAAAATAAATCATACAGATGCAGGTGGTGCGGGCTGGCTGGGCGCGATGCCGTCAGTGCGCGCATCAGGGTTCTTGTGCATAAATGGGCAGTGCTTCTTGCGACAGCCGCCTGGCTGGTTCTCCCAGTAACATGGAATTTGTTTGCGGTTTTTCTAAAGAAAAATTAAAATTTTTAATTATACATGCATATTAATAATTAACCATAATTAGTAATGAATTTTAATATAATTATATTTTTTAATAACCTTACAATTTGTTGAATAATTTTGAATTATTGCACAAATATTATATAGTACTCAATTATAATACAAAATGGATATTTATTTGTATTAAAAATAACATGACTTCATATTTCAAAACAAATATAAGCTTATGTTTCTTGTATGTTGTTTATTATATACACATACCCTAAGTTCCATGTGGCGTAGTTTGCAGCGTTTGTCTAAACACTTGCCCTGCTGCCAAGCAGTGCACATAGTCTCGCAGCCCAAAGCAGATGGCTCATGACGAAACACACAGTTATCACCCTGAAAGAAAGTTAAATTGCAGACACCAAGAAAACCAAGTAAAAAGTTGTCAAGTCAGTCACAAGTAAAAGAGCTATATGTTCATCATATTGTTACTGGGGGATTACAGTTGGGGTATACTGGATTAAAGAGATCAGGTAGTAGCAAAAGACATTTTTATTATTATTTTAGCCATTAACTGCCCACTGCTGAACATAGGCCTTCCCCATAAAATTTTGCCAGTAGTTGCTACGCTTGGCAGGCATGTTGGCAACCGCAGTCCAGCTTTAGACATGTTTTAAGGAAATGCTGCTACCCATCCCTCGCCCTCCCTTAGTCACCTCATATAACACCCACGGGAACGGAAGGAGTGGCCCATTGTATGCCAGGGCACACATGGCATACCAAAAGGCATACACTGCTAAAAACGAACCTGCAAATCTCCATTACCAACAATCCCATCGCCTAGACATTAGGTCTCTGTATTTAATATACTATCAAAAGTAACATTTAAAGAACCAATATTACACAAATTAAGATTGAAAGAAAAATAAATATAATTATACATTTACTTCTTGTTTATATTTTACTTTCATTATTCACAGTAATGCTCGGTCATTAACCTACGCTGATAAACTTGAACTTGACACTGAGAGTAAAAACAAAATGTACAAACATTTCATTCATAATAACATTGGTTTTACTATTCATTTCTAACATTAAAAACAAGTACCAGTTGGATTATTCAATAAATAGACACCAATTACCTGTAGTTTAAAGATAAAAAGGTATTAAGGAATATTTTCTGATTTCCCTTAAATATTTTCTATGTTATAAATCAATATATAAAAGCACTGTAGGTACTCCAACATTAACATATTTAAGATTGCTTTCTAGAGGGATCCATAAAAAAGGCTCATATACACTCTCCAACCTATCTTTATTTATAACTGAAGACTCTGCTTCTCATTCTGAGTTAATTACCAGACGATTCTGAGATGCAGCCCACCCAGCCTCCCCCTATATATATGCCTATGACAATGAACTATGTGAACTGTGTGTGTTCAATCTGAATATACTATTAGTAAGTTAGCTATATTAGAGTCACATACATATTATGGGCATTTTTGTTTCTAGTCCTAATAATATTATAATTGTAATATTAATAATGGTCATTTAATTTACTCTGATAAAATAATTTTAAATTCTGATGTACCTCTTTTATATACAAAATGACTAGGTTATAGTATTTTAATAAATTTTGTATACAATTCGAGCTACATGTTTCAAAACATCTAATGTTTAATGCAAATTAAGAATCTGAATCTGAATGATATAGTCATCTCATAACTACATGTCAGTTTTTACTAATCATCACTATCATCATATCATTCATTAATTGTCATACATTGCTGAGCATAGACCTCCCTCATAGACTGCCATATGGAATGGTTGTTACTAATATCAAGCTACAATATGCAGAATATAATAATCATATACTCCTATTACCTACTATTGTCATATCAAAGGGGGATTGTCAGTAATGTGGACTACCAGTCCTGTTGTTGGCAATAAACAATGTCAGGTTGACCTCCATGTGGTCACCCCTGAAAACCATCATGCCGAATGCCAGTTGTATTCATCATGATGGGCTAATTGACCTGCCTATTTATCTTCACCTATCATCCCTCACTGATGCCCTGCCAGCATACACTGTTAGCGCAAGAGGTGTTACCATTCTTTTATCATCCACTAATAAAGTACTATCGTCACATCAGCCTTTAACTATCCACTGCTGCACATAAGCCTCTCCTTTAGTGGGGTTTTGCCAGTAGTTGCCACGCTTGGCAGGCAGTTTGGCAACCACAGTTAGGCTTTAGAGATGTTTTAAGAGGAATGCTGCAGCCCATCCATTGCCATCTCTTATTCGCCTCTCATGACACCCACGGGAAAAGAAGGGGTGGTCTATTCTAAGGCGGGACCATATGGCAAACTACCTACTATGCTTCTACTAAATATTCAGGTTTATAAAAATGTTTGAGTGTTTATGACTTATATTTACAAACAGTTTTCAATACCAACTGATACATGGTTAGCCCATATCTTAACATAATACTGGCCTAGTTAGTATTATGAAGGTTTACAGCTAATTTTGTATTGTTCAGAAATCAAAATATATAGACAGAACAAACTTATGAGTGAGAGAACAAGTTTATGAGAGTAATTTACATTAATAGAAGTATTTTAAAATAGTTAATTTAAAGAAGTTTGAATTTAAAGCACACAATTAAATATTTTTTTATTATAGCATGACATGTGACTGCACAATTCTGAGCAAACATAGAAACAACATGGTCTATGAATACAATCAACTGAAAAGATAATGTTCTGCTCTCAACTATAGGCCACAGTATGCCAGCTCACTACATGCTTTTCTATGCTACATTTAAAGGTGTGAGGTTATGGGTGATGGAAACAAGTCATGGAATACCACCATTCCAAATTGATATGGTACAGTTCACGTAAGAGTGGGCAAATTTATTTATACAAGTATCTTTATAGAGCATATTATATTATAATAGTTAAGATTATAGTAGTTAAAGATAAAGACTGAAAAATTAACACGCGCACAAAAATTATGACTAATTTTGGTCCGCGTGTTAATTTCACTCGAATAAATGCACTGGTTATTAAATACGAAAACGTTGTAATTTTTTAAGTAATCTAGACAGATTAATGATTAGCCTAAGGTGTCTATTAAATGTAACGATAACTAATAACTTACCTTGGTACACGTAGAATAATAGTAAAAGTAGCAATCATTAAACTTTCTTGGAGATTCCATGGTGTTTTCCGCCGCCAGGGCCTGTGAAACACGACAATTCCATGTAGACATCATATCGACAGGGGTTGAAAACACTTAATGACAAAACAAGCATGGGAATTTCTACAAAATAGCGTGCAAAATGTACCACAATAACACAAATAAAACGTAGATTATTTCCAAGAACTCAAAATTTAGGATTTTTCCATTTGACAATACAAATGTACATCGCGGGGAAACACATTCCCAATTAAAAATTATCAATATGTCAAATTTTAATTAAATATTTTACTCACCGTCTAATAAATAAACTAAAGAATAATGAAATTATACAACAAATATTTACGCAACAGAGCTACAACACAAAATAATATGAACGTCACTATTGAAAAGAAGATGTATTAGATATGGCGGACATGTGGCGGTGGTGGACTTTCATTTCATATTTTATATTTGCTCTATTCGCTCTCTCTTTCTCTCTTACTCCGCGCTCGACTCGTTGGCTCTTTACTAGTGTTGTAATTATTGTTAGTCATTAATATCTAAACTATATAATTTACTGAGTATCTATTTTAACAATAAATTACACGAAAAATAATTGACATGAATTAACTAAGATAACTAAGATTAAATCTATTAAACCAATATATTCTTATCTAGACCAAGACCTGGGCTAATCAATATAATGATTTGTTTTCGTTTGATCATAATCGATAAAATTATTTATTGTGTATTTATAGAGGGTAACGCTTTTCTGACTAAATGAGTAAACAGGCAGACTGATTACACAAGCAGGTACCTCAAATAAATGTTTACATTCTTTCCCCAACTTTCCCACAGATTAAAAAAAATGCGTTATCGCTTTAATTAAATAATTGCCAAAAATAATGATACTATGTAGCACGATTGCCTCTTAATCGCTAGACGGACTGAATATTAGGGATGTAAACGATAAATCGATCTTTCCAAACATCGATATATCGTTCATAAACATCGATGTTTTAATATTGATGTTGAAACTCTAAACATCGACTATACATCGTTCTTCATAAGCGATGTTTTATAAACAATTTTAAATCATGGCGTTATTTTTCGTTCCGTCCGTGATCTACATCTATAGACATAAACAGATACTTACTAAATAAAAGAATGAAGTGAAGTTAATCTGATACATAACCTCAACTGTGGACTTATTCAAACGTAAGTAGGTAATTATTAATCTAATAATATAACTATACTCTATTTCATTGTTTTAGTTTACTAAATGAATTTAAAAGATAAAATTTTATTAAATGGTTATATTATATATGATCTGACTTAGATTATATAGATAGAGCCTTGAGTATTAAACATGTCATTACCTTGTCACACTAGTAAGAGGAGACGCGTAGAAGATGTGAGATGATATAAAGGGATTATTTCCCGGGCTCCATAGTCTAGCTATGATCTATTAGCCTATCGGGGCAAGTGTGGTACCCAGTGAGCGGTTATTTTTAGAAGCTGGAACGACAATCACTCAGGAGAGACACCGCTAATTGGGCACCGAGTTGTTATTTTTAAACTCTGTTTAAATGAAAAAAACTTAGAAATAAAAAATGTTTGATAAATACTTGTTTCCTGTTAAAAATTAATAAATATTCGATAAAAACGTTAAAATATATAGTATAAAAGTTCATAAAAAAATATAAATTTGTTTTTATTAATGTAGTTCTTTTTTCATTTCCGTTAAAAATGCATATTTATTCGATATATATATAGATATATGTATATTTGAATAGTGGTAAAAACATTGAAAAAAATTGATATATTGTTCATAAACTTCGATCTTTACGACATCGATATTTCACATTTCAAAACATCGATGTTCTAATATCGATGTTTTTAATGAGCGACGTTTATCCCTACTGAATATACTTTTCTTTAACAAACAGCGCCACACTAACGAAGTAGCAATACATAGAACTAATTCATAACATTAATTTCATTTCCTAAACCTTTCGATAGAGGCCGCTCCAAGAATATACCTACATATAATGCAGCAATTATTCCAATAAAATAAAATCGTTTATAATAAAAATCATGTATTTGTTACCAACTAATATTAACTTACATTATATTGATAAGATTTCAGAATGTTCTTAATATATAGACAGAACTTAGAGTCTTAAGAACGGGTCAACTTGTTGTCAGCTAATTGTCAAATTACCTGACTCGTTTATGTTCTTTTTTTTATTAGCATTCAATATACGCACATTATGTATCTTGACTTGTCTATATTTAATAATTTAATGAATAAAATGACTTTTTGTACAATAAAAAAAAAAAAAACAAAAATTATAAGACCAAAAATATAACTAATAAAGAAACCATTTATGCATAAATACAATTATAAATATCCACATTATTTTAAAAGAATTCGCGCCACTTTTCTAGTGTTACAAGTATCTATAAAAAATCCTTACAATTAATTAAAATTCCAGATATGAGGTGGATTTTTCAATAAGATTTTTTTTTATTATTATTTGTATTTTGTGCTAGTTTCTTATATAATATAGCTTCAAAAAGATTTTAAATTCGACTATATATATTTTATCAAAAAGGTCTTTGTTATTTGGCAGATTACTTTCAAAATCCTTATCTAAGGATCCGTTTACTTTTCAAATATGAATCTGGTATTAAAATTAATCAAACTGGCCACTATTTTTATTTTCTTATACATTTGGCAGATTATATTCAAAATCGAATCCGGTGCCTAAATGAATTAAAATATTCGTCGTTTTTATTTAAAGTGATAAATCTATTTATTTAGATAAGGATTCACAAATTAATTAAGAATGTAAACTTAAGCTAAAACACAAATATTTTTTTTTTTTACATTTAGTCAATTTAATTACCATTAATTTACTCATATTTTCTATTCCCATATATAGGTATTTCCAAAAACTTACATAAAATTAAAATTGCTACCAATTCAATTAATACTAATACTAAATTCTATATTTTTAAAATCTACAAAGATTTTGAGTTATTCGAATTCAAATTGATTAAGTAAAAAAAATCAAAATGGTCGTCACTTTCAGTGATAGTAGCCGTTTATAGTATATATAGATCCACAAATATCGATTTTTAATCTTCACATCAAAATTTTACTAATTTTTAAAGCAATATAGAAGAATTATGAAGTTTTTCTACCGCTGTCTTATTCTTTATCTACGCATTAGTCGTAATAAATAAATAAATAATATAATTAAATATATATATAAAATTAAATATTATAGAAGATTATTTAATCCTAATAATATTTTATGTTGCCTTCACCTATTTACCTTAAAGAATAATTTCTAATCTGGTAACCCTGTCACATACACAATTGCATGAATTCGAATCGTATGAATAATAATGGAATGGTAAGTCCGCCTGCGCTAACGGTATACGGTGGCAGGGCACCACAGACTAACTTAGAGAACTACGCAGGGCACCAGTGAAGGATGATAGGTGAGAATGAAAATACAGGTGAGTAAGCCCGTCGTGATGAAAACATTTGGAATTCAGCACGATGGTTTTCAGGGGGGACCACGTGGAGATCGACCTTATGGGGGATATTGTTAGTAATGGGACTGATAGTCCGCATTACTAACAATCCCTTCCTCCCGATGAAAGCAGGTCAATTAGCCCATCATGACTATATCCACTAGAATTAATCTCGATAGTTTCGTCGAATAGATAGATTTCGATATAATAGGGCGTATTGCTAGTAATGCGGGAAAACTCCATTTCTAACAATCCCTTTCCCCCCTTAGGGTCACTTTGCCTGCACTATTGGTATATAGTAAGAGTAGTAACGCTGTCAGAAAATTTATATAACGGTATACGGTGACGGTACATTAGTGAAGGATGATATGTGAGAATGAAAAGGCAGGTCAATTGGTCCAACGTGATGAATTCGATGGTTTCCAAGAGTCCACGAAGAGGTTGACCTGTGAGAGTATATTACACCTTGTCAATTCGCCCTCCACTCGGTTCCCTCTGGAAAACACTGCAATTGATTTATTGTTGAATTCGTTACGATGGACTAGCTGACTTGCTTATCATCACCTATCATTCCTCACTGCCCCGACAGTGTCTAACGATAGCGTAGGCGGGGTTACCGCGGGCATGACGTGACGCAAGTATCTGGGATTCTCTCTGTATACTACAAAGGATATTCTGCGTAAAATGAAATGCCACAATGTTGTATGAACTTTATTATTACATCATGATTTACAATATTAATTTTGATATAAATAAATGCTCACAATAATTAGTACGAAGTTACTATTAAAAAAAAGCAAAATGTATACTAGACAGAATAATATAATAGCTAACCTATAATAACAAAATTGGAACAATGATGTATAGGGAAATTTGAATAAAATAGGATTTTGTAGATTGAATAAATAAACAACCACAACTTGTATCGGAAGTTCCCTTAAATATTTTAAACGAATGTGACATGATTGTTTGACAGATAAAACAAAATATGAACATGTCAGAGTACAATATTGGTGTATTTGAAATCTGTTTTTTTAGAATCAACCTACGGCACTTTACAATATATTTGCTATGCTGAACATTCTTGGGCTACTTATAATTCGGTTATAAACTGACAAATTAGCTATTTATAATGCAATATTATACCTATAAAGATTATGAATGACTGTTTGTGAATGTAATGGTATATAAATAACATGAGAAATGATCGATAATTTGTACCTCTATAAAAACCAATACTGAACGGAATGTTCCGATTTTTCAAATTGAATGTTACATGTTAATATGAAATAAATAAATGGCCTCATCTCAGCTCACCAAGTTTTCTAACAAACCTACTGGATGACCACAACTCTCGTGTATCGAACAAAACTTACAAACGTAACAGTCAAATGTCATCTTTTAAACAAAATAATATAATGAGTATTGCTTAATAATATAACACGAAAACTTAGGGACAGTCTTGAAAATCAATAATCAAATAATAATACAATGAAATTACATAAAAATTACATACACAACTTTAACATTATAACCAAAATATACCATCAATAAATAGTTTTCATGCACGATGAAAACTACATTGATTCAGACAAAACTCTTCAAGATCGTATTTCCGCTTTCTAATTTAAAAACTGTTGTTTATTGTAATATTTGAATGTAAGATTTGGCTAGAAGATACGCGATAAATTGTAGATTATATTGCCAAGTTTATATAAAAGAATTTGGTTATATTCAGATAATATTGTTAATTGTTAGAATAAAATTGTACACTCATTGTGTATGTTTATATATTATTCTAGTCGAGTATCTTTAGAAAAAGTGGTGGGGCATAAACGCGTTAACGTTATCACAAGTGCAAACTAATGTTTGTGTGAATGACCTACTAAAATACGTATTCTGAATATGATATCATATAATGCGTAGCATCCAATCACACGATTATTATATGGTAAGCCAATTACAAATTGTATTTGTTGTTTAAATATTCTACATGGTCGAAACTTTATTAATAATTCAAATATGATAAAAAGTCTGACAGGTATACAATGTTATCTAAATGTACATGTAAATCAGCAATATTAGACTTTTTGTCGCAATCATCGTTAACTGAACCATTTTGTTTGTAACATATTTTGAACAGATCTCTGTATTTGATTAATTTAGACAACAAAACGCCAAATATAGTGAAAATAATCTTAACAGTTTAACAGTATCCTGGGTTAAGTGGCAAGCGAATATAGAATAAATTGTATTTGTAAAGATTGTTACTACAAACCATATTCATATTCAAACAAAATACCTTACACCACTCTGAAAACCTGACACAAATTATCTTTTTTCTGTCAAATATCCTTCATTATCAAAACCTTTTGTGGGACATTTTCTGTATTTACAATTCTTTTTAATTCATACATTAATAAGGCGAATACCAGGTTCTCATGAGTGTAAACTTACAATTAATAGCCCCCTAGCAAGACATAGCTAGATTTGTATTGCCATTGTACCCTGTTTACGGATATTGTATAGCCGTATTGTCATAATCGTATTCTCGGTTAGGGGGCAGACAAATGGACGCTTATAGTTTGCTAATTGCAAGACACTTGATAGGCCATTGAGGAGAAAGTTTTAATACTAAACTGGTTTAGGAACTGGGATAATAAATAAATAGTACCATATTGATTGTTGTGATGTGGATAAATACTGTATCTTCCTAAAATACAAGTAATCGAGATTCATTGAAAATATTGTAATTTTGATCAAGGGCAAGTCCATTTAGTACACTTTAACAGATTCTATTACCAACAAGTAACTCGTATCTAATGAATTATTCAGTATACGAAAATTTATTCTACTCTGATTACTAAAATTATACACTCGTCCTAATAATTTCATTACAATGAAATGTTATGCAATGTACATACTTTAACAGAGCGCGATAAGGTCCTAATTCGCGCGTCGTATGGTCGCTGATGTGATTACAATGTGACGTGTGAGAGTGAGAGCTACCAAATCCGTGGGGGGTGCGATTGAGACAGCCTTATCTCTTGGATGAACTCTTAATTTGTTGTAGTTTGAGACGTAGCGCATCGACGGCTGCTTCGTTCTTTTGCGAAATGGTTTGTGTTGTATGGAGCTGAAACAAATATATTTTTTATATTATAAAACATTAATAAAAACCACATACAAAAATATATTTAAATTATTTGATGTCAAGTAGTAAACATATAAATGGCTACGTCATTTTACTATAATTACCAATAATAATAATAATACTATTGTTTAATAATTGGAGAATAAATATATATTTACACAAGCTTTAATGGCAAGCTATTTTAAATAGTAAAATAAATAGACAAACCAAATAGGGAAAATGTCATTAAAGACATTTCAGTTAAGTACGACAGGACATTGTTGTGCCATAATACTGGACAGAGGCATACCTCTAGTTGCGGGTCGATAGAGTGCGTGCGAGGCAGCGTGTTGTCGTTGATAGAGTCGGTGAGGGTGCGGTTGTCGCCCACCGGCGTGCGCGGCTGCGATGAAGGGTTGCTGTCTGTTTTCAGACCTGCTTTCGCCTAACAAATACGACAATCGCGTTAATAGGTACAATCACAGCTTGAATGATAAATATTGCCAATAAACATCGTACTCTGAACTGCATAGCGATATTAAAACTTGCACAGAGTAATATAATAAGCGTAAAGAATATGGCTACCCATGACACATACAGTATCTGGCTGTCTGCAAGTACATTGTATGAGAAGTTGACGAGATAAATGTTTTGTATAATTACTAGCATTTCCAGTAATGTAAATAAATCTACCACATACCTGTAAAGCTCTGAGACGCTCCAAAAAGATAACATGCGATTTTTCATCATTCTCATTGCTTATATCTGTAACAAAATCAGTTATTAATTGAAACACATGTTGCTTACTTTAAATTTGTCAAATGTTTAGGAGTGCTAAAGGAAATTGACAATTAGCGAATTTGAACTCCTCCTGAACTTTGAAGTACTACTGATGCTTTACATAGCATAAATGTGCGATTTTTTATTCAACCACTTTAATTAATATTATTGAATATCATTTGAATGCCCATTACACTGTATCGAAATATGAATCGTATGAAAAATGAAAATGAAAAAAATACTTATTTCGTAACAAAATTGATACAATACTAAGATAGTTTTTGTGACCTTCTAGTAAGTGTTATCACCTGTATCAGAAGGTCACGAAAGTATAGTATAGTTCGATAAAATCTATGAATGGGTGTAGTTTCCATTCATAACCATTTGAGTATTAAGAGCACGATATTCTACGCACCTATATTATCTGCTTTGTAGTCGTGTTTGTATATGGGCATGGAGGCAAGTTTCCTCTGCTCGGCTACATCACGTAATCCTCGCTCCACGTAATTGCGGAAGTAGAATGACGAGCCCTGCATGAAAGTCCAAATGTCTACCTCAGGGTGACGTTCCTGAAATGAGAAAATTAATACATAAATTAAAATATAACTTCCAATCAATGGAAATCCAGGTCACATGGGCAAATTAGAAAAATTTGTTGTCTAATATTTTTTTTTAGTAAACTATATAAAAAAGATATCAAAAATTGTTAAATAAGTAATTGTTAAAAAAAAATACAATTTAATGGCAACATAGTTTTAGAGGTGATCATTGTACTAGGGGTGTTCTACTGAAGTGATCTGCCTGGTTCTGGAATAAAGACACAAGGATATAAAACCATGGTCGACTAAGTAGATGCAGTTTCTCCCTTTTCTTCATAAATCCTTTAATTTTTTTACCAACTGTTATATATGTACATGTTAGGAGGGAAGAAAAGAATTCCCTACTATCATCCTCCTCCTTTTTCCTCAATCCTTTCTCTCTAATCTGTAGGTGACGGATACTACCAATAAATGCTTTCCCAGGGAGTGTTAAGGTTAGGCGCCCGGCAAACAACCAAAGCAAACACCTTGTATAATATGAATAAAAACATTATGCCAATCCCAAATAAATGGAATATGGGCAGGAAAATAATGATAGTATTAGAAGTGAGAATATTAGCAGGGGCAATATTACCCTAAGGTCGTAGAGCTGCGCAAGCGCGTCCCGGTTGTGTTCCTTGCTGCCGATGCGCTTGAGTATGAGCGCGAGCTCCTCGTGCACGGCGCGCGGCAGGCGGCCGGCCGACAGCGCGCTGTTGCCCATCACGTTCGTCACACCCATCACACCGCCGCCGTTTAGAGATTCCGTTGTGTTCTCTTTCTTCTCATCCAGTTTCAGTTGCTATTAAGGTTGTGAGATATTTTTTTTAATATTAGAAATCGTTTTGATAAAGGAATAATAAAGTCCATGAATTTACTGATTAAAAGTATGATTTCAACTATGTTTTGTTTTCTAGACTTCTACTTTGTGATATCTATCGATTTTCAAATTGCATAAGCATCAAATTAGCCTGTGTAACACACATTATGGTATTGCAATTTCTGAAGGAGTTACAATGCAAGTAGAATGAACATCCTAATATGAATTAATGTAGTAAAATGGTTACAATTTCATCAAAATATAAAATATGAAAATTACCTTGAGAACTTTCAGCAGGTAGGGATACAAGTCTGATTCGTTAACGTCAGGTATCTGTGTGAGGTGAGTCGTAATAGAAGCGCCCTTCATCTTGACTAGAGTGTGCACCAACGTTTTCACCGTTCTGTATTATTTAAATAAAACTTATTAAAACACGATGATGGAAAGAGGCTGACCCTATCATCAGGATGTTGCTGACATAAGTCTATCTTCGGTTGGCGATTTTGATAAGAAAATAAACAATACGTTGTTTGCCGATCTTCTGTCGACTGAAGTTCACTGCACGAACGATCGAATTTATGTCAAGCGTTCCATGTCACGTAAACAGATTTCTCGCATAGCGTGAATTACACTTTGAGACCAAAAGTAGCAAAATTTTAGGCAACTGTCGCGGATGATCGGCGATCAAATATCGACCTAATATGGGTGTTTGTTAAGCTTGGGCTAGTACAGGCTGTTGTAAAGAGATTCTAAGATCGTGTAGTACATAAGAGTGAATAGTGAGTCCCTGGAACCAAAATGACAATAAAACCGTTTAAAAAAGAGATGTGAATAAGGCAAAAATTTAACAATTGATTCTCTCCGCTACAAAGAATAAATAAATACTTATTAAAAACATTTGGATGTCTGATACTCAATCACACAAATTTGATTTCGTAAGAATATTTAAACTTACCTGTATGGGGTGTCGCTTATATCGGGATTTTTCTTCCAATAACTATTTGGATAGGCCTTATAGAACAAGTGTATCTTATACAGAACAGCGTCATAGTCTATAGAGTCCACATCCCACGTGGATATCATCTTGAGGGTCTTCCAGAAGCACTTGAGTAGTAGGTCCTGATACCGGGGATATGCTGGGTCTGATACACCAATGGATTCGTGTAGGAGGGACACTATTGCACTGTAAATATGTTAAGTATGAATAATATAGGAATCATCAATCAATTCGTATTAATTAGTGTAATTATTTATTTAATTTATTTAATTAATTTAAAAGTACACATGGTAGAAGTAACACCTAATGGTATCCTCAACCATTGACCAATATTGTATCAATGGTCATTACTTTAGCTAATTATTATTTACGTTCAACTTAACCATTTATTATTGTGTACATCTATTAACATATTTTGCTCCTTCGAGCCAGATTTCCTAGAAGTTATGAGAAGAAAATCGATTTAGCCAAAAATTAACACATACTGCTTTAGTTAACCAAATACTACATACGGAAACGACATGCTGGCAGGCACTGTTGCCTACGTAAACAGATGCGTTTATTTTTAACGGTTTCTTAAAAAAAATCGATATGCAACTTTGACCATTTACCTTCTGACGGGTTGTTTGCTTGTTTACCACGTTCGTGGCATAAAAAATATTCAAGTTTTCCATATTTTGCATTGACTTAATATACACTAATGAGTAAAACCCAAAACAAAAAAAAAAATAAAAAACCTATAACCAAGCCTATGTGGTAATAGAACAAAATACTCTTATATAAGCTTATTATTATATTTATATTATAAGCCAGCACTGGTACTGACCAGAGCAGCGCAGTCCGCGGCGAGTGCTCGAGCACGCGCACGCACACGTTGTTGAGCACGCGCACCAGCCGCTCGCCCTCCGCGCCGCCCGCGCCCCCCGCACCACCCGCGCCCCCCGCACCGCCCGCGCCGCCCAGCACCCGCAGCAGCTCGCCCAGCAGCGAGCACAGCGCCGACTCGTTTACTTGCGATCCACACCCCGCCGTCTCGTAGAACTGTGATGATGCAACACACACATAAGTGAATGATATAACGACAAAAGAGTGAGAAGAGAATTTTTACAAAAGTGGGACGATACAAATAATAGAAAATAAAGACATGCCATATTTTTTATAAATATTGTAAAAATTTGTTGATGTAACCTAAAAAATACCTGCAACGTTTGTAAGATAATAAAATTCCCGTGATATAAAAGCTTGTAATATATTTTTTGTAAATTCTCATATTTTAACTTTATAATATTTGCAGGTCCAACATTTATCGAGATTTAGATCTGTAACATGTTTCCTAATGTTTTTTTTTTATTTTACAAACAAACAGGGAGCAAACCAGCTTGCGGCTCACATGACAGTGACTATCGTCGCCCATAATCACCCACAACACCTAAGACATTGAAGGTGTGCTGCCGGCCTTTTAAAAAAAGAATATGCTCTTTTCTTGATGGTTATGAGATTGTATCGGTTGGGAAATACTGCTGCTGGAAGTTGATTTCAAAGAGTGGTTGTACGTGGAAGAAAGGGCCTTGAAAAACGCACGGTGGAGGACCGCTACTCATCTGGATGATTGGGATGGAACTTTAATTTGTGACAGTTGTACGGTGGTGAAAATCAGCAGCAGCTATCAATCTGAATAATTTAATGTACACAAATACAAGAGAATAAAATAAAAATTTTTGCTTTAGTCAGTTGAAACTATTTTCCAAAGATTGTAAAAAAGTAGTTCGGTTTTCGTGGGCGATGGTTTTTTTTAATGGGTGATAATAGAATGGTAACCCCACCCGCCGGTGTATACCGATAGCGTGCTTTTGGTATACACCGGCGGGGCACCACCACGGATGATAGGTGAGGTAAAGCAGGTCAGTTAGTCCATCGTGACGAATTCAACAAGAATTGTTCACGATGGTTTCTAGGGGGAACCACGTGGAGGTCTACCTAATAGTGCATATTCGTCATAGTCGTAGAATACCGATGGATCTTTATATGTCATATTTATCAGATCTGTCAGTATTCTACGACTATGACGTATAACTAGCAATGGGTCGAACTCCATTGCTAACAATCCCTCCCCTCCCCCTTGGTCGCTGGTCGTGCGGTGTGCGTGCGGTGCGCGTGCGGTGTGCGTGCTGTGTGCGTGCTGTGTGCATGCGGTGTGCGTGCGGTGCGCGTGCGGTGTGCGTGCTGTGCGCGTGCGGCGCGCGTGCGTGCGGTGCGTACGTACGGTGGTGAGCGCGCCGGCGAGGCACTTGTAGGCGGGCAGCGCGTCGGCGGCGGGCGGCGGCGCGGCGCGCAGGCGGCGCACCTGCGCGGCCACGGCGCACACCAGGCGCTGCTCGTGCGCCGCCAGCGCCGCGCCGCGCCCCGACGACAGCGCGCCCGAGATCAGCGACAGCGCGCGTATCGCCGCCTGCAACCCACCGCCGCTCTTATAGCGATTCCACTTACCCCCTGCTGCTAGCTCTCTACATACATATACCAGAAAACATTGCTTTTGACTTGACATTACTATCAACAGCTATACCCTATCGGGCATGCAACAATTTAAGAACGTCATGTCAATAGTACGTGCAATGCGGTAAGAAAATAATTTGTTTACTAAAAAAACTTGTTAATACCAATTTAACACTGCGTTCGATTGCCGATCATCCGCAACGGAATATCGATGAATCAAATTTCATACTATTCGCTATTCGCATTATCGCGATGTAACGTTATAGAACGCTCGTGCTCGACGTGTGTGATCACGTATGCGCCGATATTCTAGCGAAGAAAGAAAGGCAACGTTGTATTGCATATTTTCTTGTGCAACGTTCGACGTAGCTCTACATTCCTTCAATTTTGGGTCGAATAAGTGTGGTGTATCATATGAGAACTAGAACAGTACGTTAACGATCATCCATCGTTTGAAGATGCGCCAAAGATAGAGTAAACGCTAGGCTAAAACATCTTGTAGCGTCATATTGACGCATAATTAATGTAGTGTGACCGAGAGAGTATGCAATTTGATGTCGGCGTCACGAAATCGATAATGTTACATCACAGATGATCGGCGACCAAAGACATGCCGAATGCGGCGCAAGCCTGTAATGAAGCCTTATTGTAACATAAGATATATATATTCGCTGATTTTAAATATTATGTATGTATAAAGTCGACGCAAATTATCCGTCAAGTATAGCTATTGAATTTAAAAACATCAATTTGGCATTCATCCTCAAGTATATATTGCCGATCGGACGGCGACGACGGATGAGGATATGCAAGGCACAACAGATATAAGGGGCTGTTTTATTTTATTATTAAGATTAGAATTAGAATAAAATACCTTTATAAGTCAATATAAAAGGTAAGCATTTATAATTACATTCAAGTCAGGACTGGCTATGGAGTGTATGGTGTCCGCAAGTTGCGAGTCGTCGATGGTGGATGTGTGTTGCGTATGTTGTGCGGTCACCAGCGGATGTGGCGCCAGGTGGCGCGGCGGTGACATCGGGACCATACTGTGTGGAAAAATAATTACTTATTTTTAACTCATTAACAGATATAGAGAAGACTAGATATATCGGTTTAAAGGTTCGTTTTATACAAAATTTGTTTTAAAATTATAATTTAAAAATATACCTCGTATTTTTTTATTATCTGTCAGTTCGCGAGATATAATTGGCAGTTTGATCTCCTGGAGAATAAACGTAAAAATAAAGCTCTATCCAGTGTCTTACATCTATCATGAAATGTATTTCCTTTATTTTAGACCCAATTTTTGTGTAAATAATATTATATCGAAATGAAGCCAATATACAAAATAATTTTGCATTTGTCATAAAGTCAGTAAGGTATTTGCGACAGCAACTTTTTCATGGTAGGTTAAAAGCACACTAGTACAGCAGCACCAATGCATCCGGCTACATGACTGTATACATGTGTGCATCAAGGTAGCCACGCAAGGCACGTGTGTGCAATGGTTAGATCTCGCTCTGATAAGGATGTCGTTTAGGAACTGAAGGTCAACTCGGGTACATCTAGCCGTCATATTATCGTCATTGCCGCATCCAACAGCATAATCATACAGTATATTAGTACCTGTGTCGTACGGTAGGCACGGTAGGCACGTGGGACACGTGTGCCGTATGGTGAGGTCGTGTGGTCCCCGCGGGAATGGGTTCGTCCAGGAACTTGAGGTCAAGCTCGGGGACATCTGGTCGGCGCACCACAGGTACTGCTGCATCCAGCTGCGCGATCAGTTCAGGGTCCAGCCCAAACGGGCCCGTGATCACTTTCGGCTCCGGTGCCACACTGTAATATATGTAACACATTAAGGCAAATTTACATTGGATCTGACATGATGACAAAACTGAAAACTCATACTGAATATAATAGTTGATAATAATAGATAATGATGAATAAGGATAATAATTTCAGCACTTTAAATTCGCACATGCATTTTAAAATATATTTAAATTAATACAAAACTTCTAATTTAACTATAATTTATCGTCTTCCTGCCCTTATCCCAATTAATATTTGGGGTCGCGTAATATATTTTTTATCCATATTACAAAAAGATTTGGCTTATAGTTTTACAACCGGTCGCCTGTCTGACGTCAACCCTCTTTGAGAATGCATTTATTGGTGGTTTCCACCACTTATGGTATGGAGAAAAAGACTGAGGAAAAAAGGGAAGGAACATTGGAAATGTGTAAAGGTAATTGTTAATAAAAGGCATTAGAAACTTATGTGAGAAAAAAAAAGGAGTGGAGGGGGGGGGGGGGAAGGCTATTGTAGTCGCGGAAAGGACCGGGACACTGCAGCGGCTCGGGTGGCCGGCATCGCATACTCGTATGCCCTTATACTAGAATCGGACAGATTTCTAGAGGACACCCCTATTACTAATTTAAATATGAAATCTAAACAATATAATACTTACGGATTAGGCGGAGGCGGAGCGGGTTCTTCCTCTTCCTCCTCTTCATACTCTACGGGCGGATTGTCGGCTGATATCAAATGTCTAGAGGTATTGTCCTAAAAATATACAACATGAAAAATAAAATTTCCAAAGTCAAATTATGTAATTACACTGCTGTAAGCAGGGCCAGAATACCTACTATAATTTTATATTAACTTAAAATGTGCTATGAAATATACTGAAATATAATAATAAAACATAAAAATACAATATTTTCCCTGAACTTATTTCTATTCAAAATTTTATCAGGGCTTGGGGGCTCCTAGTCAATTGCTTACACTGCCTAATGGTTAATTTAGCTCTTGCTATAAGATTAGTATAAAAGTACATGTAAATATACAATGAGCTGTTACCTCAGGCGGTGGCAGTATGGGTCGTCCAGAAGCCGACAAAGGCACCACCATAGACCTTCGCGCTTCTGCGCTGCGACTCTTGCCGGCACGCTTTATACGCTCTTCTAGAAGTGACAGGTCTTTGTCTGATATCTGTAATGTGGTAATGAGCAAAGATATTATGATTTGTTCTCTAATAATGACGCGAGGGCATCAATAGATAAATGAATGAACGAATAATTCTTTATTTTTATTATACAACATAGTGAATAAAGTAAGGCAACCAATGAATATAATGATACTATTGCATGTGGTAAGAAAATTTCGATATTTTGGTTTTAAAAAATTAACTTTTTAAGTTTAGGAAATCATTTTAAATCACTAAATCTAACGAAATAAAACATGTCACTTAACTAATAATTGAGACTAAACGTTACGAGAATTAGGCAACGGTCTAAGTTGTTTAGTCTATCTGTCTGACTGTGGGGAATGGTCCCATAGTCCAATAAACTGTTTCTTTAGTAGGAACTAGTAGTGCACTTATTGAATATGAACTATCAAATGTCTTTTTACCTCTGAATAGTTGATACAAATATGTAAAAGCACTGGAGGAGGGTTTGTTAATAATAAGTATTTTGGCCTAACTACCAACAATATAATCAAGGCCTCCACTAACAATAATCGTGGTTAATTTCTGTTAAATTGGTCACGATGGGCATGAAGATGGTTCTATCTTCATGTGCACCTGTCATTTTTCTCGCTAGTACTGATAGCATAACTATTTCATTTACTGATAAAAAAAGGTGTAAAACTTGTCCTCGTGGCTATGCAATTTGCTGATATGTTTCGGCTGACTAAATTGTATTTAGAAGGTATGAATGAATACCTGTCCGATCATCTTGTAGACCTTGTCGCCCTCGAGGAAGTAGGCGGCGGCGATGCAGTTGAGCGCGGCGGAGCGCACGGCGTTGTCGCGGTCGCCGATGTGCCGCGCCAGCTCCTTGAGCGCGGCGCCGCCCGCCGGCGCCATCACCGTCGGCCCGTACGTCTCCACCAGGTGGCCGATGCACTCCAGGCACTCTGCGCGGGGGAGGGGATTCTTAGTAATGGTGGGATTAGTCCCCGTTGCTATCAATATACTCTATCAGGTCGATATACACGCGGTTCCCTCTGGAAACCATCGTGACTAATTTATCGTTGAATTTATCACGATTGGCTAACTGACCTGTCTTCATTCCCATGTCTCATCTCTCACTGGTGCCGCGCCAGTGTATACCGATAGCGCAGGCGGGGCATAATTCCATTATTATCTATTAAAAAAAGGCACTCTGTACGGTATCGCACGTTAGTCAATCATCACCGCTGATTATTACAACAACCTACACTTGATAATGAGTAATAGGTGTTTATACGATTATAAAATGAATGTATATTAAGCGACATTTTTTTTTAATAATTAATATTAAAAAATATTTCATAATGATGTTTGGTATGATATACTGAAGATCCTGTGTTTTATATTAAAAGTTTAACAACATTGTACAATATGGGTATAATTTTGTTTAAAAAGAATAAAGATCCAGTTTCCTTCCAATTCTATTAGATTGAAGAATTAATAAAAGAAAGAATAAAAAATATTTGTGATGTCTTATATAGATGTATACAAGTGATTTAATTTAAACGTTATAATACCTAAATATAAGTTACGAGGGGTAAAAGGATTTGCTAGTAAAGCACCATAACAGTCTAATTATTAGCAATATAACCTATCAAATCGACCTCCACGTAGTTCCCCAGGAACTCATCATGGTTAATTACTGTTGAAATCGTCATAAAGAGCCAGATGATCTGCTTCATTCCCACCTATTATCTGTCACTGGTGCCCCGCAACTATATAACGATAGTACAGACGAGACCGCAATTACATTATTATACATTAAAAAATATAAGTTAGTTCTGTAAAGTTTTAATTGTATTCGACTTATTAGACAGTGTATATGACAGAACTCACCAGCTCGTTGTCTCGCGTTCTTAGATTTTAGTCCCTCCATCAGATATCCAAATAGCTTAGTGACAGAATAGACGACGCAAATCTGCTTGAACAACGCTTTGACGCCATTTCGGACAGTGTCCTTCGGGTCACCGACCTAAGAAAATGTAAAAGCAATTTTACATTAACTGATCTATTTTTTACATTTTACACAATTATTTTTTTAGAGCCTGCACTTTTGGTGAATGTGACATTATCAGAAATTTCAGACATTAGTTTGCAGTGATTTCAAACATATAACTAGCGTCGATAGATGCATGTGACTCACAAGCATTCTTCAGGACAGTTCATGGGGGATGTCTACTTGCAGATGTGTCGATAGCGTATGAATTATTTAAAAATATTAATGGTGTTTATACATGAATTTAGATAATTTATTTTCATAATTATAATTTTTAATAGTCGGATAAAGATTTTTAGAAAGAAAAATTCCATATATTGTTTTTTAACTAGTACTAGGCAAATAAAAAATTAATAAAATATAGTCTTGCCTTAAGGACGAGATAAGGAATAAAGCAATTAGCTTCATATTCTGCCATCGTGTAGTCACTGTCCATCAAGTATTGGAACACTTGTGACAAATACTCCAGACCCTTTAGGATGACAGATGGGTTGGTGTCGAAGAACCGGAGGGTGAGCCACTTGAGTACCAGGTCCAAATTAGCCATTAGTGCTGAACCATTCTCTTGCAAGTCTTCAGAGAGTGCTTCAATAGCTTTTAGGTGATATCTATATATAAAATAATTATACATTATTTTTTTATTCTCAGTTATATAAATAAAATAGAACATTTAAGTTATATTTACATAACTTCATAAAATGGTCATGCTGTATGTCATTATTCTCTAGATCAGGGGTTCCCAAACTTATTTTGTTTATTGCCCACTTTGAGAATAAATTATATTTAAGCACCCCCCTTTTTTTCACCTACTTAAAAACCACTATTACTTCAAGATCAACAAATCACCCCCCAAGCCTCTACACAACGCCTCCATTTTTTTCTTGGTCTATTACCGCCCTTTAGGACTGCAGCGCCCACAAGAGGACGTTATCGGCCACTTTGGGAAAGGCTGCTCTAGATTAATTCAGATAAAATATTAGTTTTTAAGATAGACAACTCAGTTATAACATCTCATTAAATATCTGTTTAACCATAAGACACAGAAAGATATTACTAATAAAAATAGCTGATTTTAGTTCCTCTGCTTCTTTCTAGCTAACTTAGTTTTAACTATCACTGGGATTTAAGTTGGTATAACACAATTTCAGGGGGCCTACCATGAAATATTTACCGAAATTCCGGGGACAAACGAAACAGAAATTTGATGTTAAAAATACATAATACATGCCGTTTAAAATTATTAAAACTGTTAAAATATCGTTCTTCTGGATTATTAGGATAGGATATATGATGAACAAAATGTTAAACTCCATTTACTGAGTCGATTTCGGTACGAACAAAAACACGAAATTGAGCCCGAAAATTTCATGGTAGACCAGCAGATATGTAGATAAATACAACATGCATCATCAAATGCTAACTGCGGTTGTCAACCCGTCTTGCCAAGCGTAGCAACTACTGACAAACCTCTTTCCGTGGGGGAGGCTATTAATTTTATTATTTGCAATATTACATAATGTTTATTCATAGTCAAATTGTCTCAAATTGTTGTGTGATTTATACCTGAAGTCACTGTGGAACATATTCGCCACAAGTTGCTTGTTTAATCCGGCGGTTGTCATTTGTTCTTTAAGTAGTTCGAAGAATTCTTCGCGCGGAGTCGTAAAATTCCACTTCAGGACTATAAAATTGACAATATTTATAAAATTAGTAATTATATAATTTTTAAAATACTGAAAGCACATATATGCGTAACCTGGTAGATTAGAATGATTAAATATATTTATATTTTTTTATTATATTGCAATCTGCCAAAAATAACTAGCAAATATTGTTCTATAGATTACTGTTCTCTTTTAACATACGCCATAATTTCAATAAGACATTAATATCCGGCACGAAGGATCAATACATTGGAAGATGACGTGTTTTTTGTTGTGACAGTTGACAAACCTTTAAGTTTCTGGTCATCGATGATTCGCTGGTTCTTGGCATTGTTGTTCGGCAGAAGAGGTGTGCAATCCTCATCATCCTTTTTGCCTCGGCTTGACGCTGATGTGGGCTTCACTGGACCCTAAATAAATTACAATAATATCAGATTTATTTAAAAAATACTATTGTCGGAAATATCTATAGTATCTAAGTATATAGATTATTTAATAGATTCTAGATTTTTTTTTAAGAAATTTGGAACGGCAAGCAACATAATAGTCAACCTAACGAAAAGTTGTAACCAAATTTATAAAAATAAAAGTCAATTTTCATTCAAATAAAAAACACACCCTTATCATAATTATGTGAAAACAACATGAAACAACTATGTTTGGGCTAGTTTAATGGTGATAATCCGATACCGGTTGCATCGCACGGCTTAAAGATCGTTTTACTACGCAAGAGAGTGCTGTCACATCGTACCTGAGCGCAACTATGTTCAAACTGATAAAAAAAAATATGGCGTTGGCGGAAAAGTGATGATGGGTTGTTAGCAGCATACGCTCTGTGTCGTGTATTTATTTTATAATAAAAGACATCTAAGTGAAATTCATAGTTTGCTACGACGTGGTTTTGTGTGCAACTTGCTAGATGTCATAATAAGACTAAGTTTCTATTAATGGAAAAACTGATACGTGTCGTGGACATGTGAAGTACCCGACATCACGCCACCCTATCCAAATACAACATTTGTGCGTGCTCCGGAGCCCGTAAGGATGCTTAGCTGCGCCGTGGAGAAAGACAGCAGCCCAAGGAGGCAGGTGTACCAGCACATCAAAGAGGTACGACTAATTTAAGTTTTTGTAAAAGGCATACCGGTCTTCGTTAACCGCCCTCTCTGCCGACCCCTGGATATTTAGTTTTTCGCCCATACAAACCATAACCTCTAAGCACTTGAAACAATTTATACAAAAACCTTACCTTGCCTTTGACAGCAACAGCTTTTTTCTCAGCTTCCTTCTTCAGTGCTCCTGCAGACTTGACTCCTCGCGGCTCCTCCTTTTTGCCTTTAGCAGGCAAAGGTTGTACCGGTAAGTTTGGTCGGGCTTTGTCTAACGCCGCTTGGACTACTGTTTTGGAGCCAGGCTAAAAAGTAGAATATTAATACTTGATTTAAGCTTTGTTGTGCTGTTTAATATAGCAAATAATCTGTCAGATAGACAGTCACTGCATGGAATACGGTAATTGTTGCTTATGGATAGAAACACCAAGCAACATTATGGGAATGGATTAAGAATAATATTCATCATTAAATTTTGTAAAATCAACTTACTTTCAGTTTGTCAAGTTGCTTGTGCATATGGTCGTAACCAAGGTGAAGCATGAATGGCAGCACGCAGTCAGCGGCTGCCTTGCGAACGTCAGCTGCGCGTTCTTCCAAGCATGCGTACAGCGTCGTCACGCACACCGCCAACTCCTCGCGAGGGAATGACTTTGGCGGAACTGCAAATGAAAAAATTCATAATTTATTTTTAATGGATGATAATGGAATAGTAACTTTGCCTGCGCTAATGGTGTACGCTGGTGTAACAGTGAGTGATGACAGGTGAGAATGAAAATGTAGGCTGTAATTAGGTATACATACTGTTAGTGTGGAACTCTTGTTTGATGTAAAAAAAAAACATTCCACACACCAAAATTATTTATTTAGTAGTTTTTTTTTATACACAACTAATAGTAGACATTCACGCGCGCCCGCCGCCGCGCTCCACGCCTGCACGCTCAACACCGCCACGGAGTGTGCAGTGTGCAGTGTGCAGTGTGCAGTGTGCAGTGTGTGTGCACGTACCTGCGGGCAGGTGGTCGGCGAGCCACTGCAGCAGCGCGGCGCGCAGGGCGGGCGAGCCGGCGCGCAGCGCGTCGTGCACCATCTCGCCGTCGAGCGCGGCCGCCGCGCCCGCCGCCGCGCTCCACGCCTGCACGCACGACACCGCCGCCGCGCGGATCCACTGCTTGCTGTCGCCGAACGCTGCCGCACACACCAAAACCACACCACAATTCATCTCGGAGTGAGCTTGCGACTTTACACATTTTATACGGATTATTCCCTAATGAGGTAGAAACATAAATTTGTCAATTGTTACCGTTATCCCATAAACGAAAACAAATATGGATTACTTTTCTTCTTCTTTTGGCACAGAAAATGTTTTTCTCAAACATGCTTGGAAATGTGAACATTATTTTGACAATCTTCTTCTAGATAAATCAAAATTGCCGTACTGGCCAGATACATGCGGGCAACGGCCGGCAAAAGTTGTATGAAAATCCATATCTGTCGTGTTTTACGGCCAGATAAATTACTATGTAAACTCATATCTGTTCTGTAATTTAAAAATGGAATGACCTTTTACTTCGAAACATGGCTACCAAGGAGGCAACTAATAAAAGGTTTTATTTAAATTTCAAACTGGTTTGCAAATAGAAAGTTGTTTATTGAAAAAGAAAAAAACAAAGGAACATTATGGCGCGTGAAAAATTATTATTGTTCTTTATTCGTCATTGAACTTAAAAAGTAAAATTGTGTTTTTGATTTCCGCGCATTGTTTGAGAAAAGTGCTATACAAGCCTTGGCTACAACTAGGTATTGATAGATTCGCGTATGTGTGCCTCGGCTACGCCTCGGCCCACATTTGCACGTTCGTCCATCAATGCCTCAGTTGCTGGTCGTTGCAGTAATGTACTATTATAGAACATATTGTAATCAGTCACAATATGTTCATCAGTGATCAGTCAGTAAAAAAAATTCGAAATTCAAAATTCCCCCATAGATGAAGACCGAAATGCGTTAAGACGTTTTGCATAAGTTCAATTAGTAAAATTCTACTCTATTACTCTACTCTAATATTATAATTTTTGGTTGAAATTGAAATTACAAGGTACAAAAGCATAACATAATTCTTGGAAATGTCAACACATGAGATGTTCTGTTGTTTATGGTGCCAGTCATGTTTATATGCAACAGTTACCATTTTTCATCTGGTGAGGTGTAAACTAAGTTCTATAAAAAAATCTTACCTTGGAAGAAAGCCGGGAAAAACGTCCTCACATGCTGCTTGCACTTGGGCCCCATAGCGGATGCGAGGGTCTCACATATCTGCAGCGCGCTCTGCGCAAGCTTCGAGTTGGAGTCCAGTAGCCGCGCCACTAGTGCCGCCGGCAATTCACCCAATGATGGCTTTATGGGGGAACTTGACGTAATTATGGCCTTCACTTTATCAAGGCCTTCATTGCGAACCTGTACAAAATCATGCAAAGTAAGATATTGTTTAACGAAATAAATCTATCGAGTATAGACTTCAATGAAATATTTAAACTTGAAAAAAAAAAAATGAGGACTGTGGTATGTATAGGGTTGGTTACGAGTTTCATTTACATATAATAAAAACATTGGTTTATATTCTTCTGGTTTTTCTATTTATACTATGTACTGTACTAATATATGTCTATTATTCATAGTATAACCTCTATTTAGATTGGGGCTAAATAGTGCTGTGCAATATATCAACTAGGTTTAAAAGAAAAAAATTCAAAAATTAAAAAAAAAAATGTTAAGAAGAAGAACCAATGAGCAGTATAGAAAAAGAAACAAAACTGTTAAGATTTGGCGAAGATATCGCGTAACAAATATAAAATAAAATACATTCGCATTAAGACCCTTTTCCATATCGAAATTGGTTAAAAATGTCATAAGCAAAATTTTACCTTCCAATTCTTGTCGTTCAACTCTGCGATGAGTGCTTCGGTGATCAGTGGAGCAATGTCGGTTCTTGGGCGCGTATCCTCCACTTCCTCCTCCACTCCCACTTCATCCAAATCCTCTCCCATTGACGCTTTGCTTGCCGACTGTAACGACGCGATAATAAAGCTCCTATTCTAATACTTATGATATGCAGTCACTCTTTTTACAAATTTTATGCTAGGTTATTGTCTATTTAGTACTTAATGTAATTAATAGAAACACGTATTTTAATGTAAGCAGACGATATTAAAAAAAACCAAACCCACTTGAAAACTATTTGTCACACTAAAAACAATCGTAAATACGTTTCATTTTGTGTTATCTATTTGATAGATGATATACATAATATGAGATAATAATACTCATTAAAATGTTTATCAACAAAAGAATGTATTTATCAGTTTATCTATCATCAGCATATGTATAATAATTGTAAAAAATAAAGCAAAATAAATTTTATGTTAAAGCTATAAAGTCTAATTTATTCAAATTTGATAAAAATTGATATAGTGAAATTAAATACCAGTAATAGCCCTGTAAACTTTTTCTAAACGAAACTTGTATTTGTATTTAGCATTAAGTTCATTATTACATACCTTACTGACTCCACCCAATTGCCTAGTTGGTGTGGGCGGAGTGCTGTTAGCATATTTATCTAGTTCCAAGCTAATCAGCTGTTTAGTCGCTGGCTTCTCGCCATCAAAGTGGTTCAAGAGAGATGGTCCAACATACAGAGACAATGTTCCGAGGAAGTTAACTGTGGATGTTCGCACATTTGGATTCGTAGCCGAAAGAGCTTTCTTTGCATGCGCGACAATACCTTTTATATTCATACTGCAAAAGGATTTAAGTATTGCAATAATATACTTATAATTCCATATAACTTAAAAACATATTTAATCGTAAATATTTTGTTAACAGGAGCATCGAAGGAAATTAAAGAATTAATATGTTATCGACATATAAAAGCATTCACACAAATTTCAATGTACAATGTTTATTATGTACCTATGTATTATGTAAATCTTTAAACAGTAATAATATTTTTATTATTCATTATTAGAAATAATGAACTATTTTCTTTATTTTAATATTTTTATTATTTTAGGATTACTAATGATCGAAACGTAGTATTTACTCATAATTTTTTTAACTAATATCTACAAGATACCTACACTGATATTAAACCTCAGTAAATTACTATTGTAACCAATGTTGGAAATTTTTCAATAAATTTAAAAACATATATAAAGTGCAACTTACGAGAATCCAAACTCCTTTATAGCGATCGACATCCAATTAAACATTTCAGACTGCACTTTAGGGTTCTTTTGTGAGTCCATTGCAAATGAGAGACCCTCGTTTAGTACATGTTCGAGTCCGCAAGCTTCGGCCAACGAGGTAAGGCAATCGGCAGATATTGACGCACACGACGCCTCCCCTAGCTTTGTCACTATGTCTTGGAGAACAAAGTCTGCTGCCGTACTGTTGACAATATTACATATCATTAAAATTTGAATTACATATATTTAATTTAATACAAAATTTACCATCAAATATTTAAAAATAAAGTATTTTATCATATTGTGGAAAAAAATATATTAACTGAACTAATCAAAGAATCTGTTTGTTGCAAATATGCTTCTTACGTCTATCCTTACATCTTTTAAATCAAGAAATAACTTTTCAAACTGTTGGCATTTTATAATATGCCAAAAAAGAATTATAAAATGCTTAGGACAAATTATAAAATACTAAAGGCCAATTATAAAATACTAAACACAAAATATAAAGTACTGAAGGCAAAGTATAAAATATGCAAGACTAATTATAATATTGCGCATATGATATGTTTACCGCGAAATTTCAATTTACGGCACTGTTAATTATTAACAACGAAAAACATTTTCAAATTCAATATACTCACACAGAGACAGGGAAATTCTCCGTTATATACTTGCAAGCTTCCAATCTAGCTTTGAGCACTTGTACATTTGTATCTTTCAGCCCTGGCTTCTTGTTGAGAGTGCGATACAATACTTGCGCTGTTACGTCGTTTGTAGTCAACCCCTGTACGTTTGAGTGAAAACTCTGGACTGCTGACAGACGGGTCTTCCAATTACCATCGCCGAGTCCTATTATTGGCATTAATTTTTATATAAAAGCAAATCAAACTGTGAATTCGGACAGAATTTAAATATGTAGTATTAAAAGTGATTTTTTTAGTTATTTTTAACTGAACACAAAAAAGGCTTATGTACGAGGTCTGTCCGGAAAGTTCGTATAAAAGTGTTCTGGAATGCGAGAAAGAGGAGTGGGGAGGCCAGGTAAGCGCAGGACCCCTTCCTTATGTCCCTAACAATGCTTCAGTTCTGGTCTGACCGCCGTGCGGTGCGAACTGGCTTGTCACGCCATCTGTGAAGTTACCTCTTAACGAAACCCCGTCGGCATGGAGCCCGCTTCCGTTGAAGAGCAGCGCGTCGTAATCAAGTTTCTCTCGAAACTCGGCAAGAATGGCCGTGAAATTTTTGCCGATCTAATTCGATAAGACATCCGGGGAACCACGAACAAAAAAATCAAGAAAATCCCGCTCAAATGTCAAGACAATGTTGATTGTTTTTTTCGATGTTCGGGGGATTGTCCATCAAGAATTCGTCCCTCCAGGCCAGACAGTTGATGGAAAATTCTACGTCGATGTGCTCAGACGCCTCAAAGCTCGTGTGGCACGAGTTCGTCCAGAATTGGCGCGAGAGGGGCGTTGGATTCTTCACCACGACAATGCCCCTGCCCACACCTCTCTTGTTGTCCGTGAGTTTTTGAGTAAAAATTCCATTACGGTGACCGAACACCCCCCTATTCGCCGGATTTGGCCCCGTGTGACTTCTTCTTGTTCCCAAAAACCAAATTGGTACTTCGGGGGCGGCATTTGGGGGACATAAATGAGATAAAAAAAGCTACGACGGGGCAGCTGAGAAACCTACAACCAGAGGACTTTCAAGGAGCCTTCTCACAGTGGAAACGGCGTTGGCACAAGTGCATTATGTCACAGGGGGAGTACTTTGAAGGGGATAAAATTGATTTACCTGAATAATTGTAAAATAAAATTTTTAAAAAACTTTTATACGTACTTTCCGGACAAACCTCGTATGTAACAATATCTCAATAAATGTTTTACACAAATAAAATACTTATGCAATCGTAAGTATTTTCTCGATATAGGATCTGATTTTGATTATTCTTTCAATTAACAGGATGTATTTACTACTCACTTATTGTTGGTGTCAATTAATGGGTTTACAATGGAAGTAAAATCTAACCATACATGAATATTTACATGTCTTTGTATGATATAATGAGAAAGTGTGAATTGAAGAAACATACCAGTGATGACGTCAGCGGGGAACAGCGTCTCGGCTTTCGCGTCCACCTCTTCCTGCGAGAGCTCCTGTTCCCGCGGCGGACTGGGTTGACTACGCCCGCCTGAAGGTTTTTTGATACCCGCTCCGACTTTCTTGGCAGGACCTATTAATTAAATTTTGATTCTTGAGGGGTCAATGCCCTACCTTAAAATGAAAGGCCCCAAGAAAATTAGACATTCGCTTTTTTGAAGTCACTTAATTACGGCTTCTGCCCTATCAAAGTCTTTTGCCCTACTTTAAACTTGGGTCTAGTTACGGCCCTGCTAGAGGGACTTTGTACAAAGCTCTTTACATCTGTATCTGTAGTATTAGAGGTGTCAATCGGCAAGCCATTGTACTTTTCATTTATTTATTTATTTCAAGTTACAATAATTTATAAGAAACGGAACATTTTTCTCATTGCTTTACGGTGTACTTTGTCGCCGATATTACCTGTGGCTGGCCGTTTGACTGGTTTCGGTTGCGCAGAACCTGCGGTAGGTTTACCGTCTCCTTTACCAGATGGCTGCGCCGCCGCTTTAGGCTTGGGTTCTTTCTTAGGAGCCGCCAATTTCACTTGAATCACAGCCTGCAAACAAGTAATATAAACAAATGAAATACCATTGTATATATCATACAGCATAATTTAATTCCAAAGTAAGATTATGCTATAAATAAATATCCATAACCCCATCTACTTGCAAACTAAGTTATATAGCTTTATGATACATATACAATTAATCAATTTACAGAAATTAACAGACCTTGTCAGCAAACTCCTTGATCTTCTGTTCTTTCAGGTTGTCCAGTTTACCAATATGGGGAGCAATGTTCTTCTCACCCACCAACTTGGTGGCTGTACCAAGCGCTTCAGCAGCAGAATCACGCACCACAGGATCTGTTATCATCAGGTTTCCCATTTAAACTGGTTTAAGAATATGTATTGCATCAAATAAAAATAAATTAGATTCTTTGCATATATATATCGAAGTTTCTTTGTTTTTACCAATATTAAAAAAAATAAAAGCATTCTGGAGTTGCCAGGGTAAAAAATTAATACTTTACTTTTAATCATTTTTAGTAAGATAACATAGAATAGTACTTACCGGCACTTTCGAGTAACTTGAGCAGACTAGCTACGTAGGCTTTGATTAGTTTCTTGTTGAAAGCAGCCGGCTGTGTGTGACAGAGTGCACGCGCTAGGAACAGCGCGCTTTCTGATTTAATTTGTGGGTTTTTGTTGTCGAATGCTGCTATCATGTCCTCCATTATGGCTTCTAAGTTTGTCTGTAAAACAAATTGTATATACAATGAATGAATAGATTTAATTCATTATATATAGAGATCAGAAGATAAAAGAGAAGCTGAACATTTATTAGAGGGAGACTGACACAAAGTTATTTTATAGTTTTTTTGCCTACTATATTCCAATTTCAATTTCTGCTGTGGTAATTAAGTTTCTATGCAGGCAAAGCTGTAGGACATAAATACAACTAGTATATTATATTCATGTTCACCAGATCTTTAACCCATTGAGTACATTCGTTGTAAGATAAAAAAGAAATACAATATAATATTTGAATGTCAACAGGTTTTCTGTCATTTATAAATTTCGTCTTTATATTTATCGTGTTAAGGTTAAAGTTTCATGACAAATGTTGCGCTCAAAAGGTATACATATAACTTACACAGGGATATATGGCATCGATAGCTTCTCTTAAAGCGGTGACGACATTGGCCTTCCTTTCTTTGAACTTTTCTAGTATGGCTTGCACGCATGCGACAGCATAGGGCTGGAATTTGTTGCGGAGTCCACTGGCAACCATACCAAGCAATCGACCGCCGAGAGCGACCAACATCACGTTTGTGTCTTTTGATATTATCTAAAAATGACAAAACTTAATTTAGACAAAAATAAAAGATTATTTTAGGTATTAAAAAAAATTGAATATTGACCAAACCGTGTATATCTATGCGACAGCTGTATAAATACAACATTCAATTTAAACAAGTTATTGTTATACTATCGCACTAGATTGACTATTATTGATTTTCATAGAGGTTTCGCCATCTGTTTCAGATCATATTACAAAGTAAAAAGTTTAATATGAATTGCAAACTTATCTATAGTAGAACTGACCCTCTAGACAAGTGGTAATCGAATTCGTCGATAGAATCGACATCGTTAGCGAGTCCAAGAGTTGGAATGAGACACCCAGCGTTGCTATCTCATTCTATCTCACGGACCCGCTAGAAATGTCGATTTCATCGACGAATTCGCTTGCCGCTTGTGTAGAGGGCCTGATTTGTAGTGGATTGCCTCTGGTTGATTTCTTACCTTTTTTAAAGCTCGGACAAGGTCAGCATAGTCGCCAGGTTCTAACTTGGGAGCAGTCTTTAGCAAGGCTTCTAGAGAATCAAGAGCTTCTTTTCTCTCTTGCCACTTCTTGGCTTCCAATTTTTCATAGAAGTCTTTGGGAATCTTGGAAAGGATCTCAACAGGATCCAAGAGATCGTATGGATCCATGTCGCCAGAGTCGCCGCCACCCGTCTCCGCGTCATCGTCATCTACTGTACCTACAAAACAATATGATTAGCATTGTAATATAAAAAAAAAAAAACTATTTTTTACGCTAATAGGAAATGGATCTAGCATTGACGAGTATCGACTATTACGTAATTTTGTCTTTGTTGGTATTATTTAAATTAATATGGCATTTATAGCAATTTTTTAAAGCATTGGCTTTCTATTACTAAAATTACTAAAGAGTAATATTGGATTGGCGTTCTTGTGTATCCATAGCCCAATTTACCAGAATTTTAATATGTTATACAGTATTTAAAATAGTGCATTCCATTTTTAGAACTACTGTTTTTCATAATAATAGACATGTTCATTCCTTGTATTGTGTAGTGGCACTGGTACAGATATAGATCTTTATTTTGAAAATTTTATTTTTTAAATTTGTGGTATTGCAAAAATGTTTCTAGGAAAAAAAATCTGAGACCCTATTAATAAATTCTGCTACAAAAAACCTCTTAAAAATTCTATCACTGATAGGAATTAGCAGCAAAATTTAAAAATAGGGGCTAGTTTAATAGTAGGCTCATATTAGTAGTCAAATGAATAAAATTAGTAGTCGAATTATTTCAAAATAATTTGAATAATCCGAATGATTTACTCAACCGAATAATTAGTAGTCGAATTAGTAAAGTCGCGCATCACTACTCGGCAGGCAACCTTCTTGTGTGCACAATCTATCTAATGTATTTTATCATATATATACAATAGTAACAAATGCAATAAATGTTACCATCAGGAGAGTCAGATACAGCGCATTCTCTGACGCGGTTCTGTTGCGAGCGCAAGTAGCGAGTGGGCTGCGCGCCGCCTCCGCTTCCGAATGATTCCCGGAGCTCTTGTTGTACGACAGCTTGGAGTGAAGCTATATGAGGCTCTATCGCCGCACCAATCCATCTAGTACAACATTAAAAATAAAGATAATATTTATATTGAAACCAATAGAAATAACGAAAAACCCAACTGTTAAATTCAGTTTGTGACAACTTATGACCACTAATATTTATTTCATATTGTCATTATGTGACCAATATGTGTATATACTAGTAAATTCATAATTAAGATGAGACTTCATGTATTAAAAACTATTAAACAATAGCCTAGCTATTAGATCGAAGATCGGAACATACACATACATATATACACCTATTATTGTCCTACTTTCTTTGTTAGTCAATTATTAAACGAAATGAATATAATACGCTGATATTATTAAGATCTTTGACAGAGGTTATTATTAATTTCAATTGTATTTACTAGTTGCAAAATGATATATGTCAATATAATTTAAATATGACAATATGGAAAATTTTAGGCTTTTATCAAGTTAAAAATTTACAGCTGCATAAATATTATTTAGTAAAGAAAATAAATTCTCAACATATGTTTTATAGTATAACATGATTGCAACACTTCTTGCGTTTAATTCTTTTTTATACATATTATAAAAGCGAAAGTTTGGGAAATTTATTACTCATGCTTAAATTATTGGATGAATTTGAATCAAATTTAATACGTAGATAGTTCATATCCAAGATTAAGGTATAGCGCGAGCAAAACTGCAGACAAAAAATATCTATATGGATTTTATGACAATAAGGTAAATAGATAAAGGGGTTTCTTTACGTTCTTTATACCAAAGGTAAAGCGCGCGTAATGCCCTTGGTAGTGCAGACGTCCATAGGCTATTGTAGCCGCTTATCATCAGGTGGGTCGTATGCTTGTTTGCCACCTCAGTGGTTTACCACTGAGGTGGTAAATTTTAAAAAATAAATCAAAAAAGAAATATAATAGTAAAAAATAGAATAAAGTCTAAAACCAAATTTTTGCCACTGAATTGTTAATGTTAATTCTCTTATGCTAAAATTCGCAATTTGAAATAAAGTGATAAAAACACTGAAAGTGCAATGCGTTTGTTGTGCGTTTTTATATTTTTTTATGAATAAAATTATTAAAATTAATACAACTCACCTGTGCATCTCAATGACTAGTGCTTTCATTTCATCCCTAACGCTTTTATCTCTGTCTGCTAGAAGTATGGGTATCTTTTTAACCATGGGCTTTATAGCAATTACTTTATTACCAAACTGCTTCAGTGAAGTGTTCAGTGCAGCAATACATGCAGCTACTACTTTGGGATTTTTTTGTTCCATGCCTTTTAGTAATTCCTCTTCTACAATTTCGTGTTTTTCTATTTCTATGTACATTAGTGTCACCTTTAATAATAAAATATGTATTGAGTTGAGAAACAGTTAAACAAATGGGTACAAAGTGTTTTAACTTGTAACCGTTTGCTAGCTAGCTAACGTGCTATTTCTAGGACATTTTCAAATTGCGTGTACATTACTCTTGAGTACTTTAGCTTATCTAAAATTGTAGATCTCTCCGATTTTACAATAGAAATATAATAAACTAGGGGTAGTTTTGTGCATCCATTAACCTTACTAATATTATAAATGTAAAACACATTTTGTTTGTTTATTTGTATGTTACGTCTTGGTAACTTAACAATTATCATGAAACTTGGTATATATAATAGAGTAAAACCACCTTCATTGATACCATCAAATGCCCTCAGTATTTGATGGCCTCATTATAGAACATACGGAAATTGATTATTGTGTATATATTATTGATTACTGCAACCTACATATGTTAACAATATAAAGTCTAGGACAATTGTAATGTAACAAATCTCAAACAATAATATTGCGTCATTTTATACAAATTCAACTGAATTGTATATTACTTTTTAAAAATACTATAAATGTGAGTGTTGGATGTTTGTTTCTTCGGCATGTTTAAATAGTTAAATAGATTTTAATAAGTTTTAGTAGATGCAGTACTGGACTTCGGAAGGGGGTACGGTCGGGCGGCGAAACGTAAGAAAATTGCTAGAAGATTAACAAAGAACCTAATCAAATTCGGCTTTTGAATGAACAACCTGTATATTGGATAAGCTAATTTTTTTTTATCCTTCAGAGAATTTATAGGGTACCATCAAAAACTTACTAAAGTTGGCCCTGAGAAGTTATATAGACCATATACTAAATTAAAGCATATAACATTTTATATACCAATTTAGAGGGGCAAAGATGTGGAACACATCTAATATCATAAATATATTAAATAAATCCACTTACCTGTAAGGCCAAATCCTTTGTTTTTGTTTTAGGTGCGGCAATACATTTAGCCACAATACCAGACATGACCTCACCAGTAGTCTTTCCAGCATGGCCACAGTTCTCCACAAACACCAGTGCCGCCTCAAGACCTGATATGTATTTTTGTTTATAAAATATAATTATATAAGCATAAACATCGTCATGAACTAGTGGTCATACTCGCTCACGACATAAAGGTCCAACCCCAATAGCAACTAGTTTAAGTATAATTAAAACTGAAAAAACTTGTATGTAACCCTGTTACATAGTAATGTGATATTTAGAGAAACAACAATAATAACAATATACTATAAAGACTCAGTATTCTGTTCCATAATAAAATAATAAATAAAAAAAATAGCTAAATAATATTAACATAAATAAATATAATATCCTATTGGTGAAATAAACAACATCAGAATTTAGAGCATAAATCTAATAACACGACAAAATATATTGGTAATTTTCCCCTTCACATGTGCAAATACTACCTTACACACACCACACAGAAGTATATACACACATGTAAGAAGTATGTATTAATTTGTAGAAGTTCTTGTATTAAAAAAGTAATGCCTAAATCAGATTACCAAGTAGGTACCACCAAGTCAACTGATGTCATTACAGTGTAATTTGTTTAACAAAAAATTCTAATCAAATATCCCTTGTTACATAGGTATATTATAACATCAATTGCATTTCATTGAATTCTTTTTTGCAAAAGTGCCTGTAATTTTATTCTTTCCAGTAACTAGGAATAATTTCAGAATATTAATTATTTTTCTGAGTTTATCCATTACAAACAAATAATTAATAATTATATATATATATATATATATATATATATATATATATATATATATATATATATATATATATATATATATATATATATATAAATGCATAAATAGATAAATAATGCTTCACTTTTACTGTATAAGAACCATAAATGTAGCATTTTTTAAAACTTAAATAAGTCAATTTGATAAAAAAAAAAAGTACAATTTACTATTGATGAATCACTGAGCAGATGTATAATAATAAATTGAACAATATAAAATATATAGTTATAGCTAAAAAAACAACTACTGAGTAATGGCGACCAACCAGACAATTCAATTGACTGTAACATTTAATTAAGTACTGTCTTGTTCAAACAATTTATGATGTTTGTTACTACAGATAGAACAAATAGCATTTATATGTATACAACTGTAATGTATATCTATATGCACTTCAATTTCAAAAAAGATTTATTTGCATATTTATTTGTTTTGACTTCAATGACCATCTACAGTACTGATAATAATGCATATGTGCATAATGCAAACCAAGATTATTTTGGATCAACAAAAAAATGATAGGCTTCTTAAAAAATGTTACAGATTAAATAAATAATTACCCCTTATTCATAAAATTTTCTACAGACCTGTTTTAATTATTACACTTGTTGTTCTTTTACACTAAATTGGGAATTTAGTGTAAAAGAAAGGGACAAAACAGTTCAATAGCTAAAATAGGTTTATGAGAGGTTTGACATTTTTATAAATAAGGGAGTTTGTCTTTTATTAGTTACATTATCTACTGCCAGTGCCATTTTTATTTGATTATCTTAAAATGTGTGATGATCACAATAATAAAGTTTATGTGTAATGAAGAAAAACATAATTTGAATATAATACAAATTTCTTTTTCACTTTTTAGTTTTATTATATATCTGTTTTTAGTCACTCTTGTGCAGGAATAGTTTTCCAAAACATCTGTTATGTTTTTATCTCAATATTTAATATTCTTGCTATCAACTATAGACAATAATACTAAAATTAACATAAAAAATTCTCACCTTTCTCTTGAGCAACAGCATTGCTATCTGTGACAAATTTTTTTATCAATCCCAAGTACTTGTTCCATTCTGGAGACTTTTCATCATCAATTTGGTTAAATAACTTAATTGCTTCCTCATAGCCTGTTACTCTAGCTTTCCATAATTTATGCACACATTTCTCTTCTGTAGGCAACTTTTTATATTCGTTTTCATCCTCCATTTTGTTATCTTTTTAATTGCTGTGTTCAATTCTATTATAATCTACAACAAAATTTTATATTATTATACCAAATGGCAAAGAAGGTTATCTGATGAAAAATGGTAAGTGTTACCTATAAATATGAATAGTATTATAGACATCACAGAATATACTGCAACCTCACATGTTATCATTTTTAAGGACAAAAATTTTATAAATGTATTTTTATAATTTATAGAAGATCAATCTAAAAGTGCATACATATCTGTCATGTCCGTCTCCCATTAGGATAGACAGAAACAATGGAATACAAAATGCTTCGATTCAAACAAGCCTCTTTTTCATCAGATAACAAGAATTTTCCAAAACAGTTTATAAATATCAGTATTATAAGGTAATAAAGATAAAAAAAAAATTGAATTCTGAGCATCTTACTTATTGAAATCAGTGGAAAATGAAATTTTAGTATTACGATATTTGTAAATGTCAAAATCATTGATTATATTTTATAATCATGTAAATATAAGAACTTATTATACCCCAAAGAATAATTCAACAAATTGAACACAACTCATAAACTCTAAGATTCTGTAACAAACTCTAAAAATCATAATAAGTATTAATAAAATCAATTTATAATTGGTGAATATATTGCATAACATACACATAAAATATACTTGAGAGCCTATAACTTGCTGAAGTCACTTAAAGATAAATAGAGAGAATAATATGGTGTAGTTAAATCAATTAAGAAGAAATATTATCTAAATATGTAATTACTACAAACATAACATCCATTCACAGTTGTTTGCTTTAAAAGGATGCCAGTTAGCCCTGAATGTAAATTACACACTCATTATGCTGAAATGGCCTTATTCCTACCTGCTACTCCCTTACGAGGTCAAGGAAATAAATTGCAATTGGTAAAAATATAAAATGTCAAGATAAATCCATTGTATGACTGCTCTTGTCTTTAAACATAAGTGAATATTAAATACCTACACTAATAGTATGCTAATATATATTTAACTTGTAAATAATACAACCTCTGTGAGCGCTTTCTTCAAATCGTAGGCGTATGTTTTTAATCGCTACGAAACGGGATGTGTAAAGGCGTTTTGTGAAATGGTGATTCAACGGCGCCTCCTTTCGAATGATAATGGCTACCTGATCAATATAGCGGAACAAATACTTAATTGCGAGCCGGTTCATTTATAGCCATGCCCATTATAAGGTAAGATGTGAAACTAGATCGCATCTGCAGCGGCTACGAGCGCTCGGCAACGGTCACTTTCTAGTTCAACAAACAAAATTCAATCAAATGTCATGATTCTTACCGTTAAATCCTTTTCTCAATGTATTTATTTCATAAAGCTATTACTTATCGAATATTGATATTGTGAACAGAATAACACTCACATTATCAGGATATAGATTCTTAATTTACCGATAAAAAGAAATGTCTTTTTCTTTTTTCCGTCGTCGTTTTTTTTAAGTTTGTGTAAAATGAAAATGGACGGTGACTGATTGAAATGTTTTGTTGCCATGCTTAATATTATTTCAAAAACAAAGATTGATATATATTAATAAAACTGCAAAATATAATCTCAGTTACATTTTTCTTTGATTGTTTTTATTAAGATTTATAGTCTCAAAAATAACGTCGTCTTTTATCTCATTTAGTAACAGGCAAAGCTACTACGTGAAGTTTTTTTATTGAAGATTTCTTATAGGTATCTCGTTTACACTAAAGACATTGCATGAGTATAGAAAATCTTATTCATACGAAAGTATCCCAGTTTATGGTACAATGATATTCGGCAGCAACTGTGCGAAAAGAATCACTTTTACTCAGCCGTAGATTAGGATATACGATCTATTCTTAATCTACTGTCTACTCGATTATTTTACTTTCTATGGTTAATCGCTACTAAATACTAATACTACAACGGCTCACTAAATACTTTTTAACGCTACATTTAAATAATTTGAATTTATAGTATAATAAATTAAGTATTGAACTATATAAAAAGACTGCAAGCACGATTCTTAATCTATGTGCAAAGGTGGTAAATTTTGACAGTATGACATTTTTCATTGACATGACAGTAAAGACACTTGACAAGTACTTAAACAGCAAATACCTACGTATCTACCTCTACTAGGCGTTCACAAAACAACAGCGAAACGAAAACAAAGCAAGCAAATCAAATCGTTTTGAAAACGGCAGTGAATGAGACGTGTCGCGTTGTCGTCGTGAGCGTGATACTGTGCGTTCGCTGTTATTATACAGCGGCTTGTTTTGTTGTTGCTTAATAAAAAGGAATAATAGTCTTAAATCTCTATAATTTGCCAATATTTTTGTGTCTACAAGATTCCTTTGAATTGTTGGCTAACTAGCATGAATATTTTCGTAACACAGACTAAACCAACATAAGTGGTTTGTTTCTATTAAGTGTGCACGAAATTTTATAATCTGGACGAAGATAATTTCAACAGCTGTTTGGGCATAGTATGCTTCATAATGTAAGTACCTACATTATTTTTCTTTTTTTTTAGAAAATAATTTTTGTCTGTTTTTAAACACAGACAAGACTACTTACTAGCTATCTGTAAACATTATCTAAGGTCTGCCTACAGGTATATCGTCAGTAGCCTAGCCAATAGATCAATCGCTTGATATTACCTACTTGCATTGCTGTGGCTAGGTACATTACATATACCTACTTAGCTTAGTACTTGCTTCGGCAGTACATATACTACTACCTACTTAGCTGAGAACCAGCTTTTCTATGTAATATGCTAATGAATCAACTAGTCATAATCAGACAATCGGTAGTTATTGCTGTTATATATCTTTGGTAGTTTAGTTGTGACTGTGAAATATCCTCTGCTTAATTACTGAATAGTAAACAAAGGTTGAAAATAGGTTTTAGTCTCTGTAATTTCAAGCTATTACAAAGATGGTTATTTGACAAAGTATTGGTGGGTACCTACTTAGATAAGTAGATACCTCTATTTGGTTACACATTTGTGGTATTATATTTAATAGCTACCTACCTAACAGTTTTTTACTACTTATCTTCTTATCGAAAAATGTGTGTTGGGTATGTAGGTACTTAAATATAAAATTTAAATAAATTATAGCTTTTAGTAACTATTAAAATGGATTCAGACACTATCTTCTATAGAGTTACTTACTTTTAGTAAATCTTGTGATTGCTAACCTGTTAGTACACTTGTAATCTTTATTTTACAGTTATTGTTTTTTTACAAATTTCAGTTTCATTTTTCAAGATTAATCATGAAAAATCACTGAATAAAAATTTTCAGAACAGACATCTAAACAAAATTATAAAATAAATAAATGAGACGTTTTTATAATTGTGTGTTATTTTGGTTAATTGAGATATTTTTTATGCAATTTCTTAGTGGTTGACTAATTATCAGTTTATGTGTTTAACATATCCTTTGTTATTAAAAACAGTATTTTGTCACATTTTTAAATACAATTTGATTTGTATATAGTAATTATCTAAAAATTTGCAGTGGTCAGCATACTGGCATATTTACCTTATTTAAATGCCTGAGTTACTAGAGCTAAGATCAACTAAAACGTTTCGTCTTTACAAAAAACATCTACATGGGTTACTAATAAAGGAAAGACTAGTTATTATGTTATTTAGGAAGCTCACAGCATAAGCATATGATTTGGAATGGAACTACTTGGAAAAGAACATACAAATTATTACCTTGTCAAAAAGAAACTTTTTAATCATGAAGAAGAAAAAAAACTAAATACTCTGCTGACTTATGAAGTATGATACCAAATTTTGTTTACTTGGGCCATAAAATATGTCAGCAACAACAACATGAAACGAGTTTTATCATGTAAACGCCATTTAACAAGTTATCATCACTCATAACTCAAGTGTTATGAAAGCGTCTATGTCGTTGTGTGTCATTAATAGTATAGACTCACCCTCAGTGAATTTTATTGTATTCTTATCCATTCTACTTTCGCCGCCATTTTTATCAGAGATCTACAGAGATACAGCTGATCTACTCATGTTTGTACCGCCAAGCTTTGCTTGTTTGGCTGTATTTCAGGTTGAAGAGTACGGTATGTATATTCGTAAAGTTTCAGGGTATAAAGAAATAAATAATAATAATACCAGTTCTCAGCAATAGCACAATGTATTCTGTGATGTCGATAGCGCTGATCATTTCTGTAGACGAATTTATATTTTCCAAAATGTAGAAAGCTTAAAAAAATACATATTCAATATATTTTTAGTCAGTTTTTATTACATTATACGAGTAGTTTTACTAGCAACTCACTGACTTACCTTTATATAGTTTTAAAAACATCATAATTATACTCGGTCGTGTAGCGTATAAAAACTGATCAGTCACTTATATCTCTCTTAACATCATTGTTTCTATAATAGCTAGGCAGATAAGTAGCTGTTATTGCTCAATTAATCGTTCGCTATTTGCCTTTTCTAATTAGTTTTTGATTAGATAGCATCGGTAGTTTCCATCGGCTTCCGCAACTAGCTTTTAGTTTTTACCGAGCTCTTGGCAATTCAATTAACTTTTTACACCTAGTCTAGATCTATCGAATTATCGTAAGGTCATTAATTATGGTAAACATTCGGTATCTATTTTACTGTGAGAAATTTTCTTTGGTTATAATCAAACTAATAATTATTAATTCAATTTAATTGAACGAGTTCACATACGATACTTAGTAGGTTATTTCATTTGTCAGAGATAAAATTATATTCCGTGACTAAGACTTTTTACCTTTTGTAACACTTTCACACATTTAGTCAAATATAAGCTTATTATAAAAATAACTGTATGTCATATGTATAATTTACCTATTTATATACTTTTACAGCATATGTCAGTCTAGATCGGTCATATTGAGCGGAAAGTGAGTTTATTTCGGACCTTTTATTCTTCTAATTGTTACAGAAAATAGAACCAATCATGACTGTATCATTATATATTATTCAGTTTAAATAATGATATAGTCTTTTCAGGTTTTAACATAGGTTTAGTGAGCATGATTATCGCATTTTAAATATATGAATGGGATAACGAGATGATAATCTGTTTATGAATTTATTACGTAACTATAAAATTATCTGCATGAAAATTGCCATAGAATATAATTACCTACATAAATAGGACTTTATTCGCGACTTCGCCAGCGTAAAATATGTTGATTGACTAAAATAAAGGACTTTTTATTTATAGGCGACTGCTTATGCCCTTCTCCATTCTTAATACTACATAATATATCAGATTTAATGAGGTTTGATCGAGTTATTAAGGTAAGTTATTAAGGTAAATCAGCAATATATAATAATCAATATAACATTAATTAGTAGTTTAATACAATAATTTAGTAACGATGCGAATTCTCTGGCAAAATTTTAATTTTATTTTTATAGGAAATTATTTTAATTCGGTCATAATGATAATGAATCTATCGTATAGTTCACAAATGAGAGGGCCAGATATTTAATATATTTAAAAAATGAGACAAAATATTTTTTAACCTTTTCTTTAAATTAAAAAATTAAGGATTAATGTTTTTTTTTCGTAGTAATTTATAACATGTAAAATATATATATATATATATATATATATATATATATATATATATATATATATATATATATATATATACTTCAGCCCACGTAAAAACTAACACCATCCTTTTTGATTTTCACTTTATTATACATTTCTTCGTGTATGAATATTATTTTAACTAATACTACTATTAATATCTTTGTGTCTTACCATATTTGTACCTAGTTGATATAATGCAGTCGTTAACCACAATATCAGCTTAGTTTCGTGATTATTTAAATGCAGTAAGTATATTACTTATTTATCATGTGGCAATAACATATATGTGGCATAATAAAAATACAATTGGTAGACATCAGCAGGCAGTTTCTGCATGTCTTTCTTTGAATTATATCTCTAAGACTAATTAACAAACACAAAATATAAGTCGCATAATTTTCGGTTTAGTGTTGTACGCACTAAAGGTTCAGTATACTTCGTACTTACGCGACAGGTAGGATTGAAAGATAACCATGTAAGTCGAATTCGCGTAAATCGCGTAAAATAAAGTGAGCTAGTGAGCTATATCGCGGGATACGTTCGAATATGCATTGGACATTAGCTTAATAATAGTGCGAAGAAAGTGTCGAGACTTGTGTGGCGTTGAAACGATTGAATCGTCGAGATTTGAAAGTCGCGTAACTCTGGGTTCGCATAAGTCAGATATTACTTTATTCGGTTTTCATTTGGTAGCAATTTTGTTATATCAGAATATGAAAAAATGTTTGGTAATATATACCTGCAATCTAAACAGTTTACGTTTATAGTAGAAAAGCTATGTATAAGCTGTTTAAATACATTATAAAATAAATATGGTAATAAACGATCAAGAACGTCATCTTTTTTTTGTGACTTTGTCACATTCTTGTTTTGTATTATTTGCTCAACTAAACGTTGCAAATGTGGTATTATCTATGTCGCAAGGTTAGTCATTGATACTTGATTATGCAATGATCAACACAACAAGTGATGCCTGCACACTTACAAAATTACATAAACTTCTTTATGAATGTTTGTACATATAAAATTTATTAATTGCATGTATTGTCTATTATTTCCGTGACTTGAGCGAAAAGGTTTTTCCCTAAGTTTAATTGTAATTAGAGTTATTAAGTCATAATTACAAGAAAAAAATCAGCGTGTGCTCGGTCACGTAGGTACTGTGGAGTGCAGATAATACCAGTGCGCTTACAGTTGAGACGCACGCCGTTCCTTTTCGCCATGTCGTGTGAATCATTCGACTTGCACAGACCACTGCCCTGCTTGTTTTACTGCGATTGCATGCACTGTATAACTGTATACAATCATAAAAACGTGTTTTACTTGCACTATATAACTGACAGTTACAAAAACAAATGATTCTTAATGATGCATGATTTATAAATCGTTTGTTTCTAGCTATATAAAAAGATAATTATCCTTTTCTGCATTTTTAACTACCTATTTCTGTCATATCTTAGTTTTTGGTAATGAAATAAAAATAATTGAATCTTTTTAGAGCGCCATTTATTTAAATCTATGATGAAAATTAAAATTTCAATTTGATATAAATGTGAATTCATTATTCTAAAGACCAATATAACAATTATTATAAATTTAGTAGATTCCATAAAACAGTAATTTCGCAAAATTGTCAAATTAAAATATTAGGTTACGAGATACGTTTAGAGAAGTGGCACCTTAGAATCGACCCCAATGAATGTTAACGTAAGTATAAATAATATTTTTGTGAAATCGGCATTCGTAAATATAACGTCAGGGTTATATAAACTTTAATTCGAAATTAATTTTACCATCATGTCTGTACTTGGAAGATATTTAAGAAAAAAATATGATAGGTTTTAAAAAGAACAATAGAAGCGAAAACAATAATTTTATAT